TCCACCTCCCGTCGATTTTTTTGCCATAGCTGTGTCAGAAAACATTGAATTTGCATACTGCCATAGAAATCACACTACCTTTGATTTTGGACTCTTCGCTTGAATAACGAGTAGTAAGAATTGATGCGAATGCCCAGGAGTGCCGCTTTTTTACTCGCCATCCCATGCTGCCGCCGGATATACAAGTGAGATGAGTCTTCACGGATTTATACAGATTCAAATGGCATTGAAAATTCCAGAAATTTGTGGTTGGCTTTTGGCCCGCATGACACCAAAAAACGTTCTTGGAAACGTAAAATACGAAAATAATGTGGTTAAGTAAAAAAAGAGGTAGAACGAAGAAATTTTGAGATATATTAGTCTTCATTTAAGCTCGCAAGACGATAATTTTTTGTGATTTTAAATGGACGGGTTGCGTGCCATTTTTATGAATTTTTTATTTTTTTAGGCTTGGCTTAGGCTTGGCTTAGGCTTGGCTTAGGCTTGGCTTAGGCTTGGCTCAGGCTTGGCTTAGGCTTGGCTTAGGCTTGGCTTAGGCTTGGCTTAGGCGGCTTGGAGCTTGGCGGAGCAGCTTGGAAAGCTTGGCAGGCTTGGCTTTCCAGCGGCTTAGGCTGGCAAAGCGGCCTAGGATTAACTAAGAGTCGGGCCTTAAGCTGGCGGTCCTTAATATTCCTTGTTTACGTTTTCTAAAACCTCAGTCCTTTTCTGTCCCTCTTCACAAGGCCTGTTGGGTGGGCGGGGGGAGTGGGCGTACTCGGGTGAAGCTCGGCCCCCCGGCGGCCATCCCACCCGCGGGCCCTAATAAACCAATCGATAGGGCGCCCCAGGGCCCGAGAGGCAGAACCCCCGGTGGCCTGAAATTAAAATCCGGCTCCTTGCAGCCGCGGGCGTTGCCCGGGTTTTGCGCCGTTTCTGGGCGGATTTTCTCTGGATTTCGGGTTTATGGGGCTGTAGTTTACGCCGAAATTTTGGCGGCTTTTTCTCGTCACGATTGAATCTATCGGAACCCAGATGTCTGCTTGCTTTTTTGAAACATATTTTGGATCGAAGCATAAGCCTAACTAAAAGCCTAAGCCTAAGCCTAAGTCTAAGCCTAAGCATAAGCCTAAGCCTAAGCCTAAGCCTAAGCCTAAGCCTATACCAAGACCTAAACATAAACCTAAGCACAAACTTAAGCCTAAGCCTAAGCCTAAGCCTAAGCCTAAGCCTATGCCTAGGCCTAAGCATAAGCCTAAGCCTAAGCCTAAGCCTAAGCCTAAGCCTAAGCCTAAGCCTAAGCCTAAGCCTAAGCCTAAGCCTAAGCCTAAGCCTAAGCCTAAGCCTAAGCCTAAGCCTAAGCCTAAGCCTAAGCCTAGGCCTAAGCCTAGCCTAAGCCTAAGCCTAAGCCTAGGCCTAAACCTAATCCTAAGCCTCAGGCTAAGCCTAAGCCTAAGCCTAAACCTAACCCTAAGCCTAAGCCTAAGCATTAACCTAAACCTAAGCCTAAGCCTAAGCCTAAGCATTAACCTAAGCCAAAGCCTCGGCAGCTTAACGCTAACAGAAATTTAAAGAAGATTTTTATGTTTCCATATTTTTTGCTGAAGCCGTTTTGAACATTTTCGCGCTTTCTTGTGCCAGAAAGTCCCAAAAATAACTCAAAAAATGCCCGTTTCGTTTTTAAGATGTTCACATCTATTTTATTTGCTTGTTATTGTTTTGCAGTTTTTTTTGCATAAACAATACTGTAGCTTAACCCCGAAACCTCTAAAAATCCCCCAAAAAACCTAAAATCCCGATTTGGGCTGTTTGTTTCGAGGCGCTAAAAGCTGGCCGGGCTGCTCAAAGGGGGGTGGGTGACTCTGTAAATATAGGCCAATGGAAACCAGTACTAGCCGGCGCGCAGTGAGCCCCGAAAAAGGAGGGGAGGTGAGCGGAGCTCCACCTCCTCCTTCCGCTACTCGGGCGCGATTCTCGACAATAGGCGCTATGGGACGCGCCAAATTACGGCCCGACCTGATATTTTCCTATTTTTGAGTTTACCGTACTTTTAAAGAAATTCCACGTTGGTGTAGCGGCTAGTGCGCTTGCCCCTCAAGCGGAGCGTCCAGGGTTCAGCTCCCGACGGGGTCAGAAATTTTTGCTTTTTGGTTCGATGCGTTTCCTGTGCAAAATTATGAAGATGCTTTACAAAGTAAGCCAAGCCAACGTCAAGCCTAAGCCAAGCGAAGCCTAAGCCTAACCCTAAGCCTAAGCCTAAGCCGAAGCCTAAGCCTAAGCCTAAGCCTAAGCCTAAGCCTAAGCCTAAGCCTAAGCCTAAACCTAAACCTAAGCCTAAGCCTAAGCCTAAGCCTAAGCCTAAGCCTAAACCTAAACCTAAGCCTAAGCCTAAGCCTAAGCCTAAGCCTAAGCCTAAGCCTAAGCCTAAGCCTAAGCCTAAGCCAAGTCTAAGCCTAAGTCTAACCCTAAGCCTAATAAGCCTAAGCCTAAGTCTAGGCTAGCCGTAACCCTCGATTCGCATACAATCCAATTCTCGATTGAATTCCCGATTTCTGAGCGCGGGGCCAGGCGCGAGCGATGAGCACTGAGGAGCTAAATTACGCCCCTCCATGGCGCTAGAAGTAGGCCCTGTGTACCTCTTAGGCCTCGGGCGGAATAGCCCTTCTCGCCCCCGCCCCATTCAGGGTTCTGGAAATTGGCCCGAGAATCCGCTTTCTAACCAGCCCAGTCCAATTTACGCCCTGCAATTTCTTACAGGGAGAAACTGATTACTGGTAGCCTGGTAGGCTGAGAGGGGTCAACTTTTAATTTCTGTGTTTCGGCGTTGCCTTGCCGGCCCCTTTAAACTGGAGCAAACCCATAAAGAGCTTGTGGGTATAGAGTAGCGTGGCGGAAAACAAAGGAGCCGGTTGTCCGGTAGCGGGCTTTTCCTTGGATGGCCTGGAAACTGGTTGATCCCCTATATCAGACGAGGCTTTGTAAATGGATATGGGGGAATTTCCTAATTGTTTTCTGCTAGCCTGCCCTCTCCTCTTCGTCAACAATCTCTGCTAGCCTGCCCTCTCCTCTTCGCAACAATCTCTGCTAGCCTGCCCTCTCCTCTTCCTCAGCAATCTCTGCTAGCCTGCCCTCTCCTCTTCCTCAACAATCTCTGCTAGCCTGCCCTCTCCTCTTCCTCAACAATCTCTGCTAGCCTGCCCTCTCCTCTTCCTCAACAATCTCTGCTAGCCTGCCCTCTCCTCTTCCTCAACAATCTCTGCTAGCCTGCCCTCTCCTCTTCCTCAACAATCTCTGCTAGCCTGCCCTCTTCTCTTTCTCAACAATCTCTGCTAGCTTGCGCTGATTGCTTGAAAGAGTCTCTGTTAGAAATTACCTAGCGTCGCTTCAAAGCCTAAGCCTAAGCCTAAGCCGATCCTACGCCTGCGCCTAAAGCAAGCCTACACTGAATACGGAGCCTAGGCCCAAGCTGAAGTCTAAGCCTAAGCGTAAGCCTAAGCCTACCCTAAGCCCAAGCCAATCCTAAGCCACCCGCAGCTTTAATTTGGCACCAAAAAAATGGGAATCTGCCTTGCAGCCCTCGGCTCCGACCGGCCGATTTCAATCTGCCATCGTCCAAATGTGTATTTAGGGGTAGAGGATGGCGAGTGAAAGCCGATTCCGCAGTTTTCCCGTTCCCCGCCCCCACGGGCTGCTGCCATGCACACTGTGACCGGGTAGCCGGCGCTGATTTCTAATTTGGATTCTGGGATGCTGACGTAGCGGGGCAGGCTAGCGGAGATAATTTGAGAAATTGTGCCCCTAGGGCAGGCTAGCAGAGGCCAGTTGGTTCAAAATTTTGGTTACCGAAACCCCAAAAAGGCATTGACTCTGGCTGTGTGTGTTTGTGCCAGAACCAGACCACGCCGCTGCGTTTCGTCCCAAAACCAGAATCCCATTTCCCCACTACACGAAGAGTCAGCCCCAAAGCACCCCCTGGGGCGGAGGCAGGGGGGGGGGGGAAACTATTGTAGAAATTGGATCCTGCTACCCAGGGTTGGGATTTAGATGTTGAGGGCAGGGTGGGTTAAATGGTCCCTGCTAGGCTGCCCATTTTTAGATAGCTCAGCGACTCTCTCTCTCTCTCTCTCTCTCGCTCTTTATCGCTCGCTCTCGCTGTCTCTCGCCTTCTTTAGCTTTCTCTTGCTGTCTCTCACTTACTCTACCTCTCTCGCTCCCCTCTCTCACTCTCACTATCTCTCTCACTCACCCGCTTTCTCTAGCTTTCTCTCGCCTTATCTCGTTGTCTCTCGCTGTCTCTCGCTTTCTCTATCTCTCTCTCTCTCGGTCTCACGGTCTCTAGCTTTCTCTCGCCTTATCTCGTTGTCTCTCGCTGTCTCTCGCTTTCTCTAGCTTTCTCTCTCGGTCTCACGGTCTCTCGGTCTCACGGTCTCTCGGTCTCTCCCCCTCTCTCTCTCTCTCTCTCTCGCTATCTGGCTCCTCTCTAGATTTTAAAGATGTTGCTCGATTTTATCGATTTATGTGACTTCTTTTTTAAATTGTGTCGTAGATTTTAGCTCTTGACAACCGTTTGCGACATTTAAACTCTCCCCAAAGTGTCGAAATGAACGGCACTGCCCTTCAAGTTCAACACGTGGATTTTTGGCGCCCTTCCCCCCATGCGGGGTCCTGTATTCCGATCGGCTCCTATTGACGTGAACGTCTCACCTAAAAGCCTATTTTCAGTTTTCGCTCGCCCCCCTTGAGCCAATGGCATCGGATGGGGGGTTGTGAAGACCCGTTTTCCCCCTCTCTGCCTGCTGCCCTGCCCTGATTCGAGCCGTTTCACTTTAAAGCCACCCCGCTGCCCCGCGTTCCTTTTTTGGGATCGGGGAGTTTCCTCAAAGGTTTCTGCTAGCTTGCCTCAAAATTTAATTATTAAGATTTTATCGAAAATTCCTGAAGAATCTCTGCTAGCCTGCCATCTCCTCTTCCTCAACAATCTCTGCTTGCATGCCCCCGAATTTAACAATTTTAACTTTCAGAAAATGTCCACTCTCGCCCCGGCACCGAACGTGCCGAATCCCCGGAATGCCGGCCGGAAAAAGAGCAACCCGGTGCGATTTTTTTCAATTTTTGGAATAATCCAGTTATGATTTAAAGGAACATTGAAGGCTAAACGACATGGCCTCGCCTGCAGCCGCTTGAATTACCTGTGGATTTCAGGTTTGGGAATTCTTCACCGACCTTCGAGTACATGGATTGGCCGGTGTTCGATGCCGTTTTTGCCATTGGGTGACCAATGATCGGAGCCCGACCACGATGAAATTTCATTTAAAGCGGAAGCACGATACTGGGCCAGGAGGTGAGCATTTGGGTTGAATATATTTGCAAATTTTTAAAGGTTTGTGGGCGTTGTGCGAGGAGAAGATCAACCAACAAACACCTCCGAATTATGCTCCAAGGAAGAGGCCGGAACCAGTTAGGGTAAGCGAGCAGAGATGGTTGAGGAAAAGGAGAGGGCAGGCTAGCAGAGATTGTTGAGGAAGAGGAGAGGGCAATCTAGCAGAGATTGTTGAGGAAGAGGAGAGGGCAGGCTAGCAGAGATTGTTGAGGAAGAGGGAGGGGGCAATCTAGCAGATTGTTGAGGAAAAGGAGAGGGCAGGCTAGCAGAGATGGTTGAGGAAGAGGAGAGGGCAATCTAGCAGAGATTGTTGAGGAAAAGGAGAGGGCAGGCTAGCAGAGATTGTTGAGGAAGAGGAGAGGGCAATCTAGCAGAGATTGTTGAGGAAGAGGAGAGGGCAGGCTAGCAGAGATTGTTGAGGAAGAGGAGAGGGCAGATCTAGCGGAGATTGGTGAGGAAAAGGAGGGAGCAGGCTAGCAGGGATGGTTGAGGAGAGAGGAGAGGGGCAATCTAGCAGAGATTGTTGAGGAAGAGGAGAGTGCAGGCTAGCAGGGTGTTGAGGGAAGAGGAGAGGGCAATCTAGCGAGATTGTTGAGGAAGAGGAGAGGGCAATCTAGCAGAGATTGTGGAGGAAGAGGAGAGGGCAATCTAGCAGAGATGGTTGAGGAAAAGGAGAGGGCAGGCTAGCGGTTGTTGAGGAAGAGGAGAGGGCAATCTAGCAGAGATTGTTGAGGAAGAGGAGAGGGCAATCTAGCAGAGATTGTTGAGGAAGAGGAGAGTGCAGGCTAGCGGTTGTTGAGGAAGAGGAGGGGCTGGCTAGCAGGGTTGTTGGGGGAGAGAGGAGAGGGCAGGCTAGAAGAGATTGTTGAGGGAAGAGGGAGAGGGCAGGCTAGCAGAGATTGTTGAGGAAGAGGAGAGGGCAGGCTAGCAGAGATTGTTGAGGAAGAGGAGAGGGCTGGCTAGCAGAGATTGTTGGGGAAGAGGAGAGGGCAGGCTAGCAGAGATTGTTGAGGAAGAGGAGAGGGCAGGCTAGCAGAGATTGTTGGGGAAAGAGGAGAGGCAGGCTAGCAGGATTGTTGAGGAAGAGGAGAGGGGCAGGCTAACAGAGATTGTTGAGGAAGAGAGGAGAGAGGCAGGCTAGCAGGGATTGTTGAGGAAGAGAGGAGAGGGCTGGCTAGGGGTGTTGGGGAAGAGGGAGAGGGCAGGCTAGCAGAGATTGTTGAGGAAGAGGAGAGGGCAGGCTAGCAGAGATTGTTGAGGAAGGGGAGAGGGCAGGCTAGCAGAGATTGTTGAGGAAGAGGAGAGGGCAGGCTAGCAGGGATTGTTGAGGAAGAGGAGAGGGCAGGCTAGCAGAGATTGTTGAGGAAGAGGAGAGGGCAGGCTAGCAGAGATTGTTGAGGAAGAGGAGAGGGCAGGCTAGCAGAGATTGTTGAGGAAGAGGAGAGGGCAGGCTAGCAGAGATTATTTGGGAGTTTCAGCCGCTCCAGCCGCCAAGTGCCGAGTCGATCTTCGGGACGTCACTTTCGCTGAATCAATTTTTGTGGAAACACCTCGACCCAGCCACCCTTTTTCAACAAGCCCCGCCCCCGACGGCTACTGTAAATATTGGAGGTGAGAGCGTATGCCTAGTCTTGGGCTTAGGCTTAGGCTTAGATTTAAATCAGATAAAACTGGACAGGACCGGACAGATATGGTTAAAGTTTAAAAAGTTTAAAGTCCAAAAATCAGTGAATTTTGAATATGTCAAGAAATTGTGACTTGAAAAGCAATTTTTCCGAGTGTTGGGGCTAGAAATCTTGGCTTATATTTGGAATACACGGAGCATTGAAGGGTCACATGAATTTCGCTATTTTCTGTATCTTACAGTATCCGCCAGCCAAGACGACTTCCTCCAGACGCTCCTCCAGCAAGCCCAAAACCTAGCCGCCTCGTCGAGCCCACCAGAGGTACGATATTTTTGAAAACTTTTGTTGCGCTAAATTTCCGCAAATTACCTCTGCCAGCATGCCCTGATTATCCTAAAATCCCAAAATGCATCTAGCTGCACCATAAAAAAATCGTGGAGTTCGGATTTCGGCGCAATTTTCCCTCAGAAATCTCTGCTAGCCTGCCCTGAATGTCTTAAATTTTCTGTATATTAATTCAATACGTTTAATTCTTATTTTCAGCTCCGGGACCCCGTAAAATCGGAAGATGTCGAAAATATGAACATTATCGAAGGACTGTTGCTGCCCAGGATAGAGGTAGTTTAGAACATCCAAAAACTCAGTACAATGGCGTAATAAATTATATTAATCTTAAAATTATAAAAGTAGATTAAAAAACCTACCCTGTTTCAGTCCTGCAAGCACTCCGACCACTCCTCTGATGCCTCTTACCCTACGAATTTGGCGTCGCCCGATTTTAGGTTGGTATCTCGCACTCTCTCTCTCTTCCTCTCTCTCTCTCTCACTCTCTCTCTCGCTCTCTCGCTCTCTCTCTTTCTCACTCTCTTTCGCCTGATTGGCTTTATTCAAAAATCTAAAAATCTCTGCTAACAACCCCAAAAAAAGTTTCTTTAGCCTTGCCGACGGCGCCTCCATCGCCGGCCTACTGCAAATCGCCACTGAGTCCGACCTGACCTTCACCTTTAATGCGAGGAGGAGCGGCGAGTACTGCTTTGAGAGCAATAAGAAGAGCAAAGATGGCAGCCAGGTGAGCTAGCAGAGATTGTCGAGGAAGAGGAGAGATAATTTACCAAACGAGACCCAAGGCCGATTGATAAGCGCATTTTGATATTGACTACGCAATTTTTCGAATCATAAAAATTCCAATTTCAGGACAAAATGGTCGTCTTCTCCGATCACGGGCCAGAGATTCGGGTAGAACAGAAAGTGGATGGGAAAGAGGTGGGCCTTTTTTGTCTATTTACCTAATTTAATTGGCTGATTTTGGTTTGTAAAATATGTTACTAAAAACCTCATATTTGAAATTTTGCAAGGTTTAATTTTTTCCTAAAAAATGTTTTGGCCGAATTCGATCCAAAAATCGGCGGTTGCCGTTCAATTAACCGAATCCATTTCCTCGTAAGAACAATTTTTCGGCGTTTGTAGTTTGGGTATTTGTGCGTTAATGGGGGGGTGGTGTTAAGCATAGTACCGTAATAATGAGTGTTTTTATAGTGTTTTCAATTAAATATAATTAAATGGGACGCCGCAAAATCATCCAAAAATGTCAAAGTTTTTAAAAATTCAAAATTTTCGTCGAAAAATCTATTTTTAAAAATCCGTGTACGTTTAGGAATTAAAAAGGTTTGTACTATTTTTGTAAAAACTAAAGTAAAAAGAAAAAGTTTGCCCCCTCTCGATAATGCAAAAGCACCGTAGGTTCTTTCGGGTATAAAATATGCGATAAAGTTACTAGCTTAATCCCTCAAATTAACACTAATAATTCTTGATTAAAATAGACCTAAAAAATTAATGAAAATATTTTCAGCTATCCGTGGAAATGTGGCGCAAGAGCGACTGGACCCAATTTTGCTGGGCCGTCCGCGGGACGTGTCTCCATTTTTTGAAGAGCTACTGAGATTTACATACCTTATTTTGTTACTTTTTACTAAATCCAAACTACCTAAATGTAAAATTATATTCAACAATCAATTTGAAAAGCTATTTAATCGATTCAATCCTATATATTTTTGAAAAAACACGATTTTTTTAAATTAGCAAAGTTGCAAAACGAGTCACAAAAATTTGCATATTGAACTTTATAGTTTTTATAATGAATTTTATTAAATTTTGAAACCGATTTTTTAAGTTGATATTTTTCATTAACTTTTTACCTTATACAACAAATTTTTAACCCTTGTTAATTCGCTTGTGATATCTGATTTTCGTGTCTTTCAAATTGTTTTTATTTTTTTTTTAAATCACGAATAAAAGTTGTATTTTTTATTTAACGACCGAAAAAACAATAAGAATAGTCAAATCGATCACAAATTGTTCAGGTAGCGGTAGAGATTGTCATCGGTGCCTGACCTAAAAAAAATGTATTTATGGAATTCCGAAATGCAGAAAAATTACTGTAATTTACTACGGTACTTGAGTCTTCATAAATTGCTGGAAAAAAACGCAAAATAGAAAAACGTCCAAAAAGATCTCGAGAAAATTTTTAAGTTTCACAAAAACGAGGAATCTAGACGACGCTGGATTTTGACAGTAAATCTTTGCCGCGTGTAGAGATAAATTTTATCAGCCAGAAAAAGTAGCAATTTTAATTAGAATCAAATCTTCAATAATTTTAAAACCAAAACAGGGCTAAAATACCTGAACCGGCCGTGGAATCGCTGGCCGCTACCCTCCAAAATTTGCTGATTGATCGATTTTCTGGAAAAAATCAGGCTGTTGGCTGCCTGTTCCTCGATAATCCCTGCTAGTTTGCCCATTCCCCAATGATCACAGCTAGCCTGCTCCTTGCAAATTGATCTCTGCTAGTTTGCCAAAGAGGGCAGGCTAGCAGAGATTCTTGAGGAAAAGGAGAGGGCAGGCTAGCAGAGATTGTCGAGTAAGAGGAGAGGGCAGGCTAGCAGAGATTGTTGAGGAAGAGGAGAGGGCAGGCTAGCAGAGATTGTTGAGGAAGAGGAGAGGGCAGGCTAGCAGAGATTGTTGAGGAAGAGGAGAGGGCAGGCTAGCAGAGATTGTCGAGTAAGAGGAGAGGGCAGGCTAGCAGGGATTGTTGAGGAAGAGGAGAGGGCAGGCTAGCAGAGATTGTTGAGGAAGAGGAGAGGGCAGGCTAGCAGAGATTGTTGAGGAAGAGGAGAGGGCAGGCTAGCAGAGATTGTTGAGGAAGAGGGGAGGGCAGGCTAGCAGAGATTGTTGAGGAATAGCTCACTCTGGTCTGGGTGTCGCTGAACGTGCGGGCCCAAATCGTGCGTATCCCTCGACCTCCACGCACAGTACCACCAACAACACAGCCAATACCGTAGCCCACAGTCTGCCCAGCATTACGCTCTGAAAAACAGTATTCAAATATCATTTTTAAATACACAGGTTAGCCCATAAAATAGCACACTTTCTGGAAAAATTCCAAAAATGGAGTAAATTCCTCTGCTGCCACCCCGTAATGGGATCGGGGTGTTTTTAGAGAAGACCACAGCAGACCAGGGGGCAAATGCCATTTTGATGCTAATTTCCCCACCCGGCGCCTCTTTTTTGGGATGAAAGGGGCGGGAGAGTGGGGGAAAAGGAGAGATGGCAGGGATAGAGAGTAAAGGGCAAAGTAGAAAAAGGGACGATTCCGTTAATGAACCTCCTATATGGGGGGAGGCAGGCTGACGGCATCTGGGGTTGACGTCGATGGGATGGGTACGGAATTGAGTGCTGTAATAGGATAGGGAAACGCCGGGCTTCCACAAAGGATCTTTGCTAGCCTCTCCTCTTCCTCAACAATCTCTGCTAGCCTGCCATGAGCCTAAGCCTAAGCCTAAGCCTAACAAGGAGACGTTTTTGAGTGTCGTCGGGACTTTGGCACGGGACCAAGCCTATCTTGTGCAGAATTTTACGCTGATTCCGAATATGTTAACCGTTTTTGCGGAATAGCCATTTCTCGAAAGTTATGAACGATTTAAACCTCAAAACAGCCCAAAATCGGCTACTTTCGATAGTCATAAAAGGCTTCGGAATAGGTTTTAGACAAAACTTGAGTGTGCATCTTGTTCAGAAAAAAATTCTCTATGTCCCGTGCCAAAGTTCCGACGACACTCAAAAACGTCTCCTTGTAAGCCTAAGCCTAAGCCTAAGCCTAGACCTAAGCCTAAGCCTAAGCCTAAGCCTAAGCCTAAGCCTAAGCCTAAGCCTAAGCCTAAGCCTAAGCCTAAGCCTTTGCCTAAGCCTAAGCCTAAGCCTTTGCCTAAGCCTAAGCCTAAGCCTAAGCCTAAGCCTAAGCCTAAGCCTAACCTAAGCCGAAGCCGAAGCCGAAGCCTAGCCCTAAGTAGGCTAAGATAAACCTAAGCAAGATAAGACAAATGAAAAAACAAAAGCGAAACCCACTTTAAAATGTGTGTGTGGGTGGCCGGGTTTGGGTTTCAAGTTCAAGCGGCAATTTCCCCTTGGGGGAATCCCTCCCCCAAAAAAAAATACCCTGCGCTATGATGGCATTGAGGGATCGAATTTGCCGTCAATGGCCCTTTAGGGGGTCCATTCAACCGTTGGCCAAAAAAATATTCGACTACGCCGGCATCCGGTTGACACGCCCAGTAGTGTGGAAGCCAGGCGGAAAACAACATGTTTTTTGAGGTGCGTTTTGGAAATGGAATTTTTTAAGGTCATGGACGTCAAAAATCACGGAAAATTTAAGGGCTACAGTAATCCGCTATAAACCGGCGATATCCAAATATTTTTTACGATAGCCAAATCTTAATATTTAAAAGTTTTTACCATTTTCCGGTGATTTGACAATATCGGGGGAGGCATTTTTCTCGATGATTTGAAAAACGTCTAGTAATTTACGTTTAAATGTTTTAATAATGTTTTTTAGTAAAATTTATCTCAATTTAAAGTGGAAAAACAGCATAAACACGAGAAAAGGTGAAATTTTTGCCAAAAAATGGTATTTTTGGTCGAAAACTCGGTATTTTTTGGTAAAAAAATCGATATGTTCGGGCAAAAAATTTATATTTCATGTAAAAAAAAGATGAAGCTTGTACAAATATTAATATTTAAAAGTTTTTGCCATTTTCCGGTGATTTTTATAATATGAATACTGCAAATACTATAAATAATCCAAATGTTCCTAGTCAGACGACAATTTTTGGAAATTCTCCCAAACTGAATGTTTTGCCCGGGGAAGGGGTCGAGAGGAGTTTTCTGGAATTGGAAGTCGGCTGTTATTTCCAACCATTCTCAAAGGTGAATTATATGAAATTGGATTATCACTATAAAAAGAAGTAAAAAAAACGCTATCTTCCAGTAACCAGTAATTTCGGAAATTACAATAAAAGTTACATTAATTATTACATTACATTAAAATAACATTAAAAGTTACATTAATTATTACATTAATTACATTACATTAATTAAAATTAAAACAACAAGTTCGATTATTACCTTCAATAAAAAAAAATAAATTTATAGTACAGTAACCTGGAAACTGGTTAAAAACAAAATGTTTTTAGATTATGAGGGGTGGTGTTGGATTTTTTAGTTTCAATTGTTCGGTAGCTGCTAGCTCATACTAAATCATAACCTCATTAAATTAAACTCAACCGTACTATGAAATTTGTTTTAAACTACAATGACTCGGAAATATTTTGAGGTGGGTAGGGACGAATGACTTTTGAACCGGAAATTCTGGATCGAAGAGATTTGAAAAGAACTTACCGTAATTGACGACGGCCGCACAGCGCTTCGAAATGCATCGAGAATCTATCTAAAATCGATTCAAATTAACTCTAACAAATCAATAAATAATTAGACGTTTATTAAAATTATCTATATGATTCTTGTAATTGAGGAAGAATGATCACAAACAAATTGATGGCCCTGAAAGTCTCTTTACCACTCAAAAACGTAAAACGTGTTTTTCTCATATTCCGAAAATATTGAGAAAAAGAGCGAGAGAGAGGAGAGAGAGAGAGGGAGAGAAAGTGGGAGAGGTAGAGAGACAGACGCAGCCGCCCCCGGAAATAAGCCCAATTTGGGTGTGCAGCTCTTAGCAAAAATAAAGCTGCAAATTGCAGATTTTCTGTCGTAAATAACAATTCCTCAACAATCTCTGCTAGCCTTCCGTCTTCTGTTCCTAAAAAATCTCTGCTAGCCTACTGCACCCTTTCAACACCTCAAAAACCTCCTAGCCGTGGCCATAAAAAATTGTCTAGGGACGTGGAAACGCGAAGGAGCGCGGGCTTCGGGAATATGTTAGTTAGTCTGTGTGTGCATTGGGGGCCCCGGAAGGGATTTCTAGGTGGATTAATCCCGGGAAAAGCCTTCTTAGGGCCTTGGCAGGGCCCTAAGAAGGAACGGGAAAGAGGGTAAAGCTTGGAAATAACTAGAAAATTCCCTGGGATTTCTCAAGGAATCTCTGCTAACCTGCCCTAACGATGGATAGCTGATTTCCTTATGAATCTCTGCTAGCCTGCTGAACTTCTTGACCGCCGAAGTGGCCAGCCAGCAGAGATTTTTGTGGAAATTTGTATATTTTGTGGAAATTCTAGCAGAATTTTTGTGGAAATTCTAGACAGGGGGCAGGCTGGCAGAGATCTTTGGCGAAGCTGGTGACCAAAAATTTGGGGATGAAATTGGGCGCGCCGAAGAAGAGACTCACCGGACGACGTCGGCAAATCAAATTAGAGAGACACCCACAACCTCCCAGGGCTAGGGTTAGGGTCCAGTGAAACGGATGCCCGGGTTTCTGATTGAGTTCTAGGAAACGAGCTCTCTCTCTCTCTATCTCTCTCTCTATTTCTCTCTCTCTATCTCGCTCTCTCTCTCTCTCTGTCTCTCTCTCTCTCTCTATCGCTCGCTTGCAAAAATTCAAACATTTATTCAACTACAATTCCGGATTTTTCTTCAACTTCGGCGTGGTCTGCTGGTGGATGAACTCGAAGAGGTCGCCTCCGAGCGTCTTGGGAAGCTGAAAAAAATTAGCATGACGAGAGAGAGAACGAGAGGATGAGAGAGAGAAAGAGAGAGAGAAAGAGAGAAAGCGAGAAATAGAGAGAGAGAGCCCCCACCTCCAAGGCGGCAAAATGACCGCCATCCGGGTGCTCGCGGCGGAATTGCAGATTGTAGTAATGCTTCATCACCTCTTCCGGCATCTACAAGGCGTTTTTTTGTTTAGAAATTGGTCCATGAATCAATGTCCTAATTTCCAGAGTTAAAAACTCACCTTGTCGAAGGGCTCGTTTCCGAAATTACTGTGGCCCGTCGGGACGGAGCAGAAGACCCTGAAATCACGCATTAATAGGCTGGAATTCCTCAACAATATCTGCTAGCCTTCCGCCTATTTCCATACTCACTTTCCCAGCTCTTGATTCCGAGTGTCGGCAAAATATTCCTTGTAGAATCGCTGTGAATTGGCGATGTTCCCCTGGGCCCAGTAGATGGACACCACCGTCAGCACCTCGTCGAGCGTGAATTTTCTGAATACAAACAGTTGAGAAACAGCGAGAGAGAGAGACCGAGATGACAGCGAGATTGAGAGAGAAAACGCTAAACTGACTTGGTGATGCCGCCATCTGGAAGGTCGCGGAACTCCAGGTTTGTCCACGATGAGAACTTCTCCAGAATGTAGGCTGCGAGGCCGATGGGAGAATCGTTGAGTGCGACTCCTGGAAAGGGCAGGCTAACAGAGATTGTTGAGGAAGAGGAGAGGGCAGGCTAGCAGAGATTGTTGAGGAAGAGGAGAGGGCAGGCTAGCAGAGATTGTTGAGGAAGAGGAGAGGGCAAGCTAGCAGAGATTGTTGAGGAAGAGGAAGGGCAGGCTAGCAGAGAAACTTTGTGAGCACTCACCAACAGTATCCGGCTTTGTCCCCTGAATATGCATATATCCCGACTCAGCCAGGATCATCCCGAACAGGCTGAAGATGCTGAAGTTGGCCTGGTTGGGTGAGGCAAAGAACTGGAAAGGTTAATATTGTAATTTTCGTAGCTAGCAAGACCCCTTAAATTAAAGAAACTCACTAGTTTTGGGGCAGAAAAAGAGCCGAGAATGGCCTTGACCAGCCCGATGCCGTGGAACGAGCCGGCGCCGTTCATGTTGACGTGGAGGGCGAGGACGCTAGAATGAGGCGTGCTCTCTCTCTCTCTCTCTCTCGCTCTCTCTCTCTCTCTCGTATAACCTACTTTTCCTTGTACATCTTCGCCAGGTTGGTCGTCACGATGGCTCCCCAATCTCCACCCTAAAATTTGAATTCACGTCTTTTTTTAAGGGATTCTGACGCGGGCGAGTTTCTAATGCTCATGCTCGATTTAAAATCGTCACCTGCAAGTAGAATGTCTCGAATCCAAGTCGGGTCATCAACTTTTTGAAAACTCGGGCGCATTCCACTTGGGAGAAGCCTGAAACGAACGGTCGCGAGAGAGAGCGAGAGAGAGGGAGGGAGAAGGATAGTACCTGTCTTTTTCGGATTTCCAGAAAATCCATAGCCTGGAATCGACGGCGCAACCACTTCAAATGCAAAGTCGTAGTCGAATCCGTGCTTTTTCGGGTCATTTAGGATCGGGATCAGCTTCACGAACTGAAAAAAAAGGAAATTGATTACTAGAAAATGCACAAATCCCCCAGCTCTTCGCCAACAATCTCTGCTAGCCTGCCCCTACCTCTTGGACATTTCCGGGCCATCCGTGGACCAGCAGAAGGGGTAGAACCTTTTTATAGCCAGAAGCCGCCTTCGAGCGGATGAAGTGAACCTAAAAAATTGGGACTCAAAGCTGGTATCTGAATCTAGAGCTGCTGTTTAAAGGGACTGGGAAGCCCAAAAAATTATAAATCGATAAATTTTAGCACAGTTTTTCATGCTCTTTCCAACTTCAAAACATTTTTAAATAAAAAAATTCTACCTGAATTCCCTCAATCTCGGTGGTGAACTGGGTAAACGCGTTGAGGGCCGCCTCGTGCTTGCGCCAATCGTACTTGGAGCGCCAGTATTCTTGGACTTCCTAAAATTGGGCAAATTGAAATTATCATAGGAAAATTGTATAAAATATTACAAGTTACCTTTAAATAATGCGTGTTGAACCCGTAGCGGAAATTGTCGGAATCCTCGAGCGTCTCGTGGCTGACCCTCGAGTGCAAAAGTCGGCTTTTTAGGTCCTAAAAGATATTTTAGTTAGAATCCATAGCGATTTTTGCCTTCAATGGCCCTTTAAAACCCAAACCCACATCGAGCACTTTTTGCGGGACATTAATTTTGTAGGGGTGTATCGCCTCGTCGTCGGCCCGCCACTCCCCGCTTCCGTACCACCCGTTCTCGACAATGTCCACCTGGAAACCGGGGGTATAGAGGATCGTCGCGTAGCCGGATTAGAATGAAATTTTTAGTATAGTGGCAGATTGTTATAATCTATGTTCTTTAAAAAATTTAGGTAATTATCTTGAAAAATTAAAAAGTTATAGCAAAAAAAGGTAAATTTCCCCATGTTTTTCGCGATTTTTTTCTATAACTTCGCGATTTGCATAGCTAGCGTATCGAAATTTTTAGTGCAAACTGATAATACCTTAAACTATAATTCTGCAAAATATTAGAGCATGATCTTAAAAACGCAAAAAGTTGCAGGGGAAACTGTGTTTTTTTTGGATGTTTCAGCGAAATTCAGCGACATTCTACCAATTTTCCAATAAATTATGCTCCATTCCCTGCATCCCAAATGGTCTCTCCTAGCTTCCCTTGGGCTCCGGCGAAAAGTGACACCAGGCGTAGAGAATCGCGCTGAGAACGGCACCGCCGAGCAAGAGCTTCGTCACGCAGCAGCCGCAGCCCATTTCCTGAAGTTTCGAAGTTAAGCCAAACCTAAGCCCAAGCCTAAGCTAAGCCTAAGTCTTAGCTAAGCCTAGGCCTAAGCCAACCCTACGCCAAGCCTAGGCCTAAGCCTAAGCCTAAGCATAAGCCTAGGTCAAGCCTAAGCCTAATCCCGGCCTAAGCTAACAAGGGGATGGTCTCAGCTCGGAATCGAATTCGGATTTGAAAATTTGCACACTTATAGAGCTCGACGAGACAAATCGATTGGTGTAACTTTCAGCAGCAGATACCCCGAACTAACAAAGTTATAAGCATTTAGAGTTTTTGCATACATTTTGCAGATTTTTCGCCATACCTTCATAAGCCCTCCCCCTTCCCCCATCAGCGTGGTCTGGTGGTCTAGTGGCGTGGTACGCGGCGTCTGGGGAATCTATCAAGGGTTCGAACCCGCTCACGATTTTTATTTTTTGCTTTTTGGTCCAAAGATTACTCTTGGCATTCCAAAGACCTTTAATGGCTTTTTAGGCATTCACCAGGAACCAGGAAGCGTTGCCAACAATAAAGCAGCTTTGCGAAAAATTTAAAATTTTGTGCCTGTGCTCATGCCTCCTCAAAAAATTTTGGGGAAATTTTCAGAAGGCTGGCAATCTGCTTATCAACACTTTATCGTATCTCAAGCTGCATGAAAATAATCAAAATTATTTTCTTTGAACTGATCCTACTATGGTTACCTTGCCTACTTTCAAAATTTCCAAAAATTTTTAGGAGTGGGATTTTTTTTGCTGCGAGCGCTTCCTGGTTCCTGGTGAATGCCTAAAAAGCCATTAAAGGTCTTTGGAAGGCCAAGAGGAATCTTTGTACCAAAAAGCAAAAAATAAAAATCGTGAGCGGGTTCGAACCCTTGATAGATTCCCCAGACGCCGCGTACCACGCCACTAGACCACCAGACCACGCTGATGGGGGAAGGGGGAGGCTTATGAGTGTATGGCGAAAAATCTGCAAAATGTATGCAAAAATTAAAAATGCTTATAACTTTGTTAGTTCGGGGTATCTGCTGCTGAAAGTTACACCAATCGATTTGTCTCGTCGAGCTCTATAAGTGTGTAAATTTTCAAATCCGAATTCGATTCCGAGCTGAGACCATCCCCTTGTAAGCCGAAACCAAGCCTAAGCCTAGGCCTAAGCCGAGGCCTTAGCCTGGAAAATTGAAAACATTTTAAAATCAAATGGGAAATTGAAGAAATAGGGCGGAAAATTCGTGGGGGGCGGGCAGGCCAAAAAAAATTGGACCGGTCGCTGGGGCATCGAGGGCAAAAAAAATGGGGGGCGAGATAGACAGAAAGACGGAGAGGGCGAGAGAGAGAGAGAGAGAGAGAGAGAGAGAGAGAGCGGGAGGCGCAGATAAGGCGCGGGCAGAACACTACACAACCACAACACAAACAGACACAAATACGCTACAAATCAGCAGCCCCCCCCCATCCAAGGCCAGGTGTAAACAGATAAATTGCCGGTCAGATAGCGATTGAATGATTGGATTAGGGGCGTTTTTAAAGGGGTGGCGAAGTCAGAAAATTCCCATGGATTGTAAGAACTCACTATAAATTCTTAAATCGATCAATTTAGATATTTTGACCTTAAAAACTTCAAAAATCCAGACCTAAAAAATCGACAAATCAAGAAAAAAATGTTTTGAATCGATTTTTAAAGGAACTAGAACGTCTAGCAAATTTTTACAAAGTTTTTCCGGTTCCGGTTATTGAGATTTAGTCTGGAAAATCGAGCAAAACCTTAAAAATCAGCATAAAAAAGAGATACCTTGAACAAATTTTTTAAGGGATCTGGCGAGACTATGAATTTTTTTAGATATGTTTTTCTAGTACAGTTTTTTACGCTTTTTTGAATGATATCTTTAAACCGACTTTTTTTATAGATTTTGGCCTTAAAACTTACATTAAAGGGATACCCGGGTTGAAAACTCGAGGGAACACTTTCGATTGGATTTTAAAGGGCCTAGGAAGGTGAAAAAATTTTTTGATAAGAATTTTGCATAGAGTTTTTGATGCCCTTTCCAATAATGTGCTTAAAAACACAATTTCTCAAATTTTATGCAATTTACGGACAGAAAATGGTCGCAGTTGAAACGGCATTAAACGATTTATTGTATACCTGAGAAAACACACAAAAAAAATCTAAAATTCGGGCAGTAGCTGCACTACCAGATCCAGCAGACGACCTCCTGGGGCGAGGCGCGGTAGTCGCGGTTTTTGGCGAGGAATTTCTGGAACTCGCCCCGGTCGGTCATGTAGATGAAGTCGTCGGCATTTTTGCGGGCCTCCAGAAGGGGAGATCGAGCTCCTAAACATGCAAACATTTTTGAAAAGTTAAATGCATCCCACCGCATTGCCCCATCTGACGGACGCACATCCCAATCGGAGCCACCTCGTTCTAAAAAAATGATAAAAATCTAAAAACCGGAAGACCGTACCCAGCCTTGCATTTGTATCATTGATCGACATGCCTGACGCGTCGGCCGTCAGGAATTGACCGCCGTTTCGGGCCATATAGGAGAGCTGTTGAAGGCCTGGGCAGCGATTTTTCACCATTCCTGTGTTTCTGGAAAAACCGGATCCTCAAGAGTCTATGCTAGCCTGCCCTCTCCTCTTCCTCAACAATCTCTGCTAGCCTGCCCTCTCCTCTTCTTCAACAATCTCTGCTAGCCTGCCCTCTCCTCTTCCTCAACAATCTCTGCTAGCCTGCCCTCTCCTCTTCCTCAACAATCTCTGCTAGCCTGCCCCCTCCTCTTCCTCAACAATCTCTGCTAGCCTGCCCTCTCCTCTTCCTCAACAATCCCAGCTCAGCCTGCCCTCTCCTCTTCCTCAACAATCTCTGCTAGCCTGCCCTCTCCTCTTCCTCAACAATCCTCTGGCCAGCCTGCCCTCTCCTCTTCCTCAACAATCTCTGCTAGCCTGCCCTCTCCTCTTCCTCAACAATCTCTGCTAGCCTGCCGTCTCCTCTTCCTCAACAATCTCTGCTAGCCTGCCCTCTCCTCTTCCTCAACAATCTCTGCTAGCCTGCCCTCTCCTCTTCCCTCAACAATCTCTGCCCTTTAGCCTGCCCTCTCCTCTTCTCAACAATCTCTGCTAGCCTGCCGTCTCCTCTTCCTCAACAATCTCTGCTAGCCCTGCCCTCTCCTCTTCCTCAACAATCTCTGCTAGCCTGCCCTCTCCTCTTCCTCAACAATCTCTGCTAGCCTGCCCTCTCCTCTTTCTCAACAATCTCTGCTAGCCTGCCCTCTCCTCTTCCTCAACAATCTCTGCTAGCCTGCCCTCTCCTCTTTCTCAACAATCTCTGCTAGCCTGCCCTCTCCTCTTCCTCAACAATCTCTGCTAACCTGCCCTACCTCTCAAAAGTCTGCATGCTAATGATCTTCCCAGTCCGATCAGCAGCTCCGAAGCCCCGCCCACTTCGCTGATCGACCAGCCGACGGTTGGGGTGTGTAAAGAAGCGTCGCGTAGTCGGATTGTACGCACGGTATACCTACAGCAACTAAAATTCTGCAACAACCTATGCTAGCCTACCGTCGACGCGAAAAAATCGAGACTCGGGCTCTGCTCCTTGGCGAAATTGGGATGGATCTTGGTGATGGTGGTTACTAAAATAGCGTTAAATGGAAAATTAGCGAATTTTAAGTTTTTAAATTTAGCTACGCTCGAAAGTTTTAATTCCGGAATATGCAAATAAAACGTACTGATTTTCGCGCCCAGGTCCCATTGGCGCGAACGGAGAGCGGCCAGGGTCATCTAAAAATTGTTAAAATTGTACGAAATATACAATCTATATCTATTTTTTAATTTAGACTACGTCCTAATTACAACAGAACCCTTTATTAAACAAAAAGAGGTATAGGGAAATTTTGACGCTTACCAAGGCCCAATTCCGCGACATTCCGCACTTCCTTCTGGCTGGAAAAGGGAGCGGTTTAATGAAATGTTTCGAAGTTTCCACAAGAATCTCCGCTAGCATACCCTACTATTCCGAACAGTTTCTACCAGTCTGCCTGGTTCTCGCAAAGAATCTCTGCTAGTTCGCCTTGGTTTTCCTAAAGATCTTCAAGGCTTGTCAGCTTTTCCTCAAAAATCTCAGTTGCCGCCATCATCTCGTTTCCTGCAAATCTCGCATAGCTGCCTTGGATTTGCTAGCTTTCGGAGTTTGCATCTGATCAAAAGAACCTCTATTGTTTGTCTACTTGTCCAGGTTATTCTGTAGCTCGGCGGTTCCATAGATCTCTGCTAGCTTGCCCTGCTTTTCCAAAGTGCTGCCTCTGCTAGCCGGCCTGGAATTCTAAACGATACCTGCGAGCCTGCCCTCGCTCTCCCAAAGAATCCTCCTAGTATGCCCTGATTTTCCTGAAAATCCCTGCTTGTCTGCCCCTGCCGTCAAAAGTACTTACTCGTAGTCATAATCGTTGTCATTGGCCTCGAATCGGCCTCCATCTTCGGTCTTGAATTTTCGTTTCTCGATGCCCGGCGGGCCCCAGGCCATGGCGAGAGGGAGAAGCGAGAGAAAGAGGGCGAGGGAGAGCGACAGTCGAGCCATGAGCCTGAAACAAGCAGTTTTCGCACGAGCACCATATTACTTTTAACCTTTTCAAACTAAATTTTGCCATTTTCCCCAATGATTTCGGCTAGCCAGCCCTCCTAGGTCTCAGTATTAGCAAGCTAATTACCATAAAATTACGATAAAAACAAGAAAACCTTGAAAATACTAAAAAATCTTGAAGTGAAAATGTAAAAAAATCGAGAACCGTATTGGTAGTGGCTTTGTCTGGATGCTAGCTCGTCCCACCCCGAAATGACCTCGAAAAATTCCGACTAACTACTATGCCCGACCTTGAGCTATGTGGGGATGGAATTCGATGAAAAGAAGGAAACCCTTGCGGAGCCCAATGATGTTTGCTGTGACACTTAGGACTATGCAAACCTGGTGGGATAAAGATGAGAGAGAGAGAGAGAGAAGGATAGAGAGAGAGAGAGAGAGAGAGAGAGAGAGAGAGAGAGAGAAGGAGAGAGACAGAGAGAGAGAGAGAGAGAGAGAGAGAGAGAGGGAGGAGAGAGAAAGAAAGAGAGAGCGAGAGAACAAGAGAGCGAGAGAGAGAAAAGCGAGAAAGGAGAGAGAAAGAGAGAGAAAGAGAGATAGATGGAGCGTGAGACATAGAGAGCGATAGAGAGAAAAATAACGAGAGCAGTGGTCGAGAGCGTGGGGGAGGGAGAGACAACGAATTACTACAACACCCTCCTTTTGATGGATGACCTTAATGCGTGTTTTAATGCCCGTGCGTTTAGTATGAATCACTTTTCACGTCTAGCAGCGGAAAGAACATGAAAAACTACACTTGTAATTCTTTCAACTACAATTTTTGGTCTTGCTGGCCCTTGAAAATCTCGGCTTAAACGGATTCCTAGAGTGCCCTTGTTTCGGTGGTTCACTTTAGTGCATGTTTTGACCAAAAATGAATGTAGTCATTAATTTTAAGACTAAACCATCGGAACGAGCATGAAAAAATACAATCTTGCAGAATTTCCGAGATTCATAGATTTTCTAAAACTTCTAAGTCCCTTTAAAATGTCCTCAAAACTATTTTTCAGGTACCTCACCTCCGTTCTTGTAGTCGACCGATCCGGGGGGAATTAAGAGTTCGCAGCTATGTTAGGACTGACCTTCGATAGCCAGCCTCAATTCCCAGGGAGGACTCAGCAGTAATGAGAAAAATCAGGAACCGAAAAAAAGCTTATCGATTTAAGCCGAATTTTGATTTTTCGATTTCCGGGCTGGGGTACCACCCCTATTATTTTATTTCTATTATCTTATTCACGATCTTTTTGACGCAGCGGGTTTTGAAACATTTTTTCGAAAGTTTGATCTTAAGCCCACCCTGTGGTCACCCATGCAAATCTCCTCACCCTAGAACTGGGGATGTTTGGCCAACAACCACCTGGAGCCAGCCTAATACCAGCAATACAAATTAGTCACTTTTGGGAAGAGGAGGCAGAGAGGTGCACCAGCACAGATGGTTCTCTGCTGCTAGTCTGGCCCTTCTACCCCAGAATTCCTGCTGAGAATTCTGAGGAGTAAAACCTACAATGAGAAGACTGGCCAATGTTTCTTCCCTAGAACTCCTGAACGAATCTGCAGTAGCCTTTCAAGAAGTTTGCCCTCCTCTTCTTCCTCAAGAATTCTCGCAAGAGGCCAGCTCTTTCTTCTTCCTTTCTCAACAATCTTCTGCTAGTCATCCCTCTCCTTCTCTAATAATTCTCTAGTTCTACTCTCTCTCTCAGCCTAACTCCACCTCTCATCCTCTTCCTCTAACACTCTATGCTAGCCGTCCCTCTCCTCTTCCTAAACAATCTCTATAGCCTGCCCCTCTCTCTTCTCAACAATCTCTCTAGCCTGCCCTCCTCCTCTGGTCCTCTAAATCTGCTAGCGCCACCTCTCCTCTTCTCAACAATCTCTGCTAAGCCTGCCCTCTCCTCCTTCCTCCAACAATCTCTGCTAGCCTGCCCTCCTCTTCCTCAACAATCTCTGCTAGCTTGCCCTTCCTAGGCCACTTTCAGCTTTCAGTTTTCGGATGTTGTGGAGCGATGTGTGGTCTGTCTGGGGCCACGATGACGAGCATTAATTATGTAGTTTTTTGTGTGCTCCAGGGTGAAATTTTGGATGAGCCGACTAAAGCTCTGCCCGATTAATTTTTGAGGATTTTGAGGGAAGTTCATATTCTGGAAAAATTCTGTCTTTCTTTCTCTCTCTCGCTTCATCTATCTCTCTTCTCACTCTCGCTCAAGCAAAATCTACAGTAACCTTACTATTTTTGAGCAATTTTGGAAAAGGATTACATGGTAGAGAGCGAGAAAAAGCGGGAGAGTGCGAGGGAGAGAGAGTGCGAGAGCGGAAGAGAGAGTGAGAGTGAGAGAGATAGACAGAAACATAGAGAGAGAGAGAGAGAGAGAGAGAAAAAGAGAGAGCGATAGCGAGAGGGAGAGAGAGCGAGCGCGAGAAGGAAGAGAGAGAAACAACGAGAGAACCAAGGATTAGTGGCTTCTCAAGGTAATCCCGTTTTCGTCCACTTCTAGACCGCGTCTCTTTTACCACCCAACACCTACTTCCACGTATTTTTGGCCGCACTTGGTCGCTAAAATTGATTTTTCTATAGCGAATAAAAATAACAAATTCTAAACTCGACTTTTCCTAATATAAAAGCTAGCAAGTCTGTTGTAAATTTCTAAAAAATTCCACTGTCCTCCTTCTAGAATTTAAGCCCTTTTCCGCGTCATCGCGCTCGTTTTCTTTCTGCCGTTTTTGCCGTGGCGGCTTCCCCGCGAGATGGGGGAAATGGGCTGTTAATTTTATCGCGAAAAATATTTCCTAGGGCAGCGGGGTGGCGATTGCCTTTGCAAGTTATTTTCTTTTTGTATTTCCAGCTAGTTTTCGATTTTTGCGGCTGGGTAAAATTGTCTTAAAACCTATGAAAATGCTAATAATAATATGTTAATTTTGACATCGATGCGCTCGAAATTGTGTTTTTTCTTTGATGTTTCGATGAATCTGAAAGGCTATTTATTTCGTTTTTTAATTACTTAATTTGCTTTGTTTTTGAATGAGCTCTGGGCATACTAGCAAAGATTTTTTGGGGACCTTTCGAATCGTTAAAAAAGCGGGTCAGCTAGCAGAGGCCATTTATGGACCCGCAAAAATGTGAAGAGTTTCGGGCAGGCTAGCAGCGGCCATTTGGGAACGTTCGGAATCGTTGAAAAATACGGCGAGCTAGCAGAGGTGATTTAGGGCGCTCAGGAACTATCTCGAGCGAAGGGCAGGCTAGCAGAGATTCTTGAGGAGGGTTGTCTAGCGGAGATCCTCAAGGAATACAGGCTAGCAGAGTCTTTATTGGGAGGGCAGGCTAGCAGAGATCCTCAAGGATAACAGGCTAGCAGAGACACTTTAGGAAGGCTTCCTCGAGCTGTTTCTTTTACACGAACGAAAAGCTACCGCCGCTAGAATATGCGATTAATTGGGGTCTGGCGAGGGCGAGAGACTGAGAGGCCGAAGCACCTGACGGCTATTTTCGCTTCTCCTCTCTTCCTATCACCCGCTTCTATTTTTTTCTATAATAATACTCTTTCTTTATCTTTTGGTTTTTCACGGTATCATCCTTATCTTTCATTTTAATTAATCACATCAAAACCCAGGCTCCTCTTTCCAGGAATCCGGAAACTATTCCCTTTACGCCGAACTCGGCCGGATGCACTTCAAGCGGACGAGCACCGTGGTCAGTGGTTATAATGTTTTTAATGAAAATTGAATGTTTTAAATGTACTTTAATATAGAAATAAAAATATGATTTTAAATTATTTTTTGCGTTTTTAGGTTTTACCTGATCAAAATTCTTTGCCTTTTTGAAATTTTAAAAATATGTATACTTTTATTAAACTAGTAACCTAAAAGAAAAACAAGAGAAACCAAGAAAAAGAAAAATAGAAATACCGGAGGAATTTAAGCGATAGGGACAGGGGTAGGAAAGCGCGAAGCCAGGCTAGCAAAGAGCATTGTGGAAGCTTTAGCAAGCCATAAAAAGCCAGGTAGGCTAAAGAGATTTTCTGGAAAAATTTAAAGCTGGTTAAAAGAGAAGAGAGCGAGAGAGAGAGTGAGCGAGAGAGAGAGCGGGAGAGAGAGGGGGAGAGAGAGGGAGAGAGAGTGAGAGACGCGCAAACTTCACTTCCGGGCAATCAGATAACTTTGTGGAATGGGCAGGCTAGCAGAGATTGTTGAGGAAGAGGAGAGGGCAGGCTAGCAGAGATTGTTGAGGGAAGAGGAGGGGGGGGAGGGCAGGCTAGCAGAGATTGTTGAGGAAGAGGAGAGGGCAGGCTAGCAGAGATTGTTGAGGAAGAGGGAGAGGGCAGGCTAGGGCAGAGATTGTTGAGGAAGAGGAGAGGGGCAGGCTAGCAGAGATGTTGAGGAATTCTCGCTTCCCCTCTAATCACTCACCCGATCAAAGGTCGCCCAAAATTATCTGGGGACAGGTAAAATTAACGGGCATGTAGCCTGGCCCGAGAGCCCCCATAATTAGAGACGCCTTTTCCGAAAATCTCAACCTTGGGGATGAGACAAAAAAAACAAAAACGCAGGGCCGGACCTTGTAATCCGCAACGGGAGGATGGGAGCCGACAAAAAGCCATCACCGGGCCAGTCATTTTCTCTGCAGCGCTGTGAGATTTTCCCTATCCCTTTTGAGGCCCGCTTCCATACACAAATTATCATCTGCATTTTGGGCCCAGGTGGCTTCCCGGGGATTATTGATTTCAGCGAACCCGGAAGGGACTGTATTCCCGCTCTTCCTGAACAATCTCTGCTAGCCTGCCCTCCTTCCTCTTCCTCAACAATCCTCTGCTAGCCTGCCCTCTCCTTTTTTTCCCTCTCTTCCTCAACAATCTCTGCTAGCCTGCCCTCTCCTCTTCCTCAACAATCTCTGGTAGCCTGCCCTCTCCTCCTCCTCAATAATCTCTGCTAGCCTGCCCTCTCCTCTTCCTCAACAATCTCTGGTAGCCTGCCCCCTCCTCTTCCTCAACAATCTCTGCTAGCCTGCCCTCTCCTCTTCCTCAATTTTCTTATACTTCCTCTTCTAAATTTAAAAGTATCTCTGCTAGCTGCCTGGCGTTTCCATTCCTTAATCTCGTTTTCAATTTTTTGAAATGTAAGCAAAAATATTAGGTGTATGCATGCTATCATATCGGCTGAAGCGGACGCACTATTCATTGGTAAGTCTGAGGTATTTCCTAAAAATCTCTGCTCGCCTGGGTTTTCGCGCCTCCAGAATTCAAAATACTCTGCTGGTTGCCTGGACATCGGGCAGCCTCTCCTATTGTATTTTTCTGCTCCCCAACGATCCTGCAGCCTGCCTGCCGTGGAGGAGCCATAACCTAAAATCTGAATTGTACAAACCTATAAAAATCAGAAAATACCGAATAACCTTCCTCCCGTCGATTTATCGTGGACAATTAGCGCGTAAGGCCAGTTTTTGCTTTCAATTTTCGTGAAACATTTTACATAAAACCTGAATTTCTCAAAATTTGCAAAAACCAGTACACGCTTCTTGTACTTCTTTTCACAAATTCCCTAGCGTTGACTTAGGTATGCAAACATTCCCAACCTCTTCCTGAGTTTAGCCCAAAATCCAGACAACCAGCCATTTTTCCGGAATTTTGGAGTTTTTATGTTGCAAAAAATTGGGTATTCTGCGAGAAAGTGCACTCATCAATGATTTCATTGCGCTGACGAGTGAGTAGATTTTTTCTGCTAGCCTGCCCTGAGGGTTGTAAAGGGCACAATTCCTCAAAAGGTCTCCGCTAGCCTGCCCTGGTGACTGTTCCGCGAAAAACCCCTCCCACGTTATTTCGCCCACCCCGCCCTCAGAGCTTTTCCATTCGGGGGAAGGGGGATTTCCTATACGTCCAGCAATACCTGGAAACGTAATGGTAAATGTTTTGAATAGTGCTTCAGTGAAAATTAACAATGATTTAAATGAAAAATATTTAAAAACCTCAAGTATTTAAAATTTAAATTTGGGAAAAACCCGTATTTTTTCGATTTATTAAGGAAGGTATTTCCTTGAGGAATTAAAAACAGTAGAAAACCATTTCCTCTCTATCTATATTCAAAACTCTGTAAAAAAAATGGAGAATTTGGGAAATCTAAATTTCATGAGCAAAAATCTAGTTTTTTGTTTTTTTAGAGGTTAGCAGTCTTTAGGATTGAAATCATAAAAAGGTAGAAACATTTCTCATTTAAATAACAAAACTAAGCTACCAAAGATAAAAGCTGTTTTTCCCTTGATAAATGCCCCCCTCCCCTGAGAATGAAAAGGAACCATAGGTCTCTCCAATGTCTATCAAGTATGCCCAAGAACCCTAATAACAAGACCCGACCCCAGATTCTACTAGAACACGGTAGGGCAAACTCCCCTAGTTCCTCTCCAAGGAGCCTGCCCTCAAAAATCCAATTCTCCATCAGGATCGGCGAGCAGTTTTTCGCCCAGATTTTTGCCTGTCGATTCTCGACAACAAAAAGCCCACTGATTTTCCCTCTCGTGCTCCCTTTCTCGTGTCTAGCTGAATGGCTAACGAGTTCCGATTTAATTTGGCGACTTTTACATGCGGCTAGGGCTCCCGCACTCGGAATAGGCTAGAGCTGAATGGGGGTAGGCTTGGCTTAGGCATGGCTTAGGGCTTGGCTTAGGCTTCGACTTAGGCTTGGCTTGGGCTTATTGGCTTGGCTTGGCTTCATAGGCTTGGCTTAGGCTTGGCTTAGGCTTGGCTGGATAAAGCTTGGTTTAGGTGGTATGGCTTAGCTTAACTTAAGCTAGCCTTGAGGAGCTAAATAAGTAACTGAAGACTGGCATAAAATCCAGAACGACGCTGGCGGACTGAAGCTTAAGCTTGTTTAAGGGCAAGCCTAAGCCTAAGCCCAAGCCTAAGCCTGGCTTACGCCTAAACCCAAGCCCCAAGCCCAAGTCTGCGGAATAAGCCTAAGTCGTAATCCTAAGCCTAAGCCTAAGCCCAGCCTAAGCCTGGCCTAAGCCTAAGCCTAAGCCTAAGCCTAAGCCTAAGCCTAAGCCTAAGCCTAAGCCTAAGCCTAAGCCTAAGCCTAAGCCTAAGCCTAAGCCTAAGCCTAAGCCCAAGTCTAAGCATGGAAGCAAAAAAGTAAAACAACAATAAAAAATGAAATAAATTAAGAAAAAATTTTCCAAGGATACAAAGGTGATATTACAAAGCATATCAGTTATTCAAAGCCTAAACGGATCTTCTTTGTTTTAGGAAATTCATATTTTTTGTGAGTAAAAATGCAATATAATTTGTGAGTCTGGACCTTGGTCACCCGGAAAAAAACACTAGTCCCAAAAAAGGGATATGTCCCAGAACGGCCCAAGGGCCACGAGGGGCCCATAAAATATTGCCCTAGCTGGCCATCGATTCGCCCAGAGCCGGTTTTTCGCTACTTTTCACTCCAAAAACGACATTAAAAATTCTAACAACATTTTTAAGTCTTTTTAAGTGCTAATTTATAGCGTTTTGAAAACTCGGGGTCCCTTTTCTCGCAAAAATGCATTTTTCGCGATTGATTAAGCCCGAAAAACGGGTAAAACATATTTTAAAGCATTTTTTGAACGCCATACAGCATTCGTATGCTAACTTCCAGTTACGACATGTTAATAAATTTTCCTCGCTTGAAAATTCATGATTTTTGAGCCTTGTCGCTCCTAAGATGCGCTCGTCGACGCGCCAGACGCGCTTTTCGCGCAATTCCCTGAAAGAGGTGGGTTTTAGGGGTATCCGGCAGCCAGGGGCAGGCTAGCAGAGGCCATTTAGGACGTAAAATTGAATAAGAGGGTATAAAACCATCAAATAAACTTTATTGCCCGGTGTTCGAGTCCCTTTAGAAGCATTGATGGATCAACGAATGAGATCCGACATTACTGAAAATATTGAGGTTTTCGGGCGTGCCGAAATCGAATGTTGCATGTTTTTGCGTCTTCTGAAGACCTTTAAATGCCGTAGTATGCGGATTCCCCCCGTTCTTTCTGAAATACTTTTTCAACGTCATCAATGCATCAGATTCTGCAAGGTTGAAGCTACGCTTTAATATCTACCTTGTTGAAACATTTAAATCTAGCCATTAATGCGTCGATAAAATAAGCATGAAGCCTCAAAAACTTCTTGGCGTTGCTAATGATCTCGGGAAAATCGAATGTTGCTGAATTTCTAGCCTATTTTCTCCGTTTAAATTCCCCAATGAGGCATGGGTCGATTTCTACTATCCTAACTTTCCATTTTTTCAATTTTCAACTCTTGCCAGTCCCTTTAAAATCATTAGTGGAAGCTGCTGCTCAATTTTAAATGGAATATTTTAGCCGGAGACTCCTCGTTTTATCGCATACCGCTGGGAAATAGAATGTTGCAGGTTTCTTTGGCCTCCAACGACCCAAAATCTCAACAATACTCGTTTTCGTGCTCGCTGAAAAAACCTGAACAAGCCCTAAAAACTTTTGCGCATTTTCCGGACTTGTGGAACTCATTACTGCATCATAAAGATGGGGTTCAATGTGCAAAAATGCCTTGAAATACCTTTAAAAATTTAAAATCAATTAACGTCCCAGGAAAAATCGCAAACAACAGGCAGAAAAAATTGAATGTAACAGTTTTTCGGGACTTTACAAGACTTGTTAATTTGTTAATCGTTCCAATTTTACGCTGTCAACGCCATAAATGCGCGAATAAGACGGAATTTCGTGGATAAAATAGGATAGTAATAATTTGAGTATTTATGTCAAGTTTCGTGCCAGATACCATAAATTAGATAACGCTTAGGGCGCTGATTCTCAATTTTCCACAGCATTAAAACGACGCTGAGGATTAAAAGAGATGTTGCAGATTTTCGTGACTTCTCCAGTCTCTTAAAGGCATTAATTAGTACAAATTTCCAGCGGAAAATACTATATATCATTTTGCGCTATTTTTACACTTTTCAGCCCCTTTAAAACCATTAATGCCGCCAGAAAATCCCGCTGGAACCTCCCGCTCCGTTGACGCCATTCATCCTCACCGAAAATCGAATGTAGCAGCTTTTTCTGACTTCTGGCACCGATTTAAGCTTATTAAACCATCGCCCTTCGGTTTTCCATTCCTAGGAATGCATTAGAAAGGTGGAATTCCCAACGAAAACCACTCTAAAATGGCATTAGCATGCTTCAGGATTTTTTTGGTTGTTTTTGTTATTCCAAGCGGCTGAAAAATGGGTGTAGCAAATTTTCTAGTCTTCTCCAACTCTCTCAGGACGGTAATAACTGGTCGATAATCTTTTTCTCTATCTCTCTCTATCTCTCTTTCTCATTCTCTCTCTCTCTCCGTCTCTCTCTCTCTCTCCCGCTCTCTCGCTCTCTCTCTCTCTCTCCTCTCTCTCTCTCTCTCTCCCTTTTCCGGCCATCCGGTCAACACTAACACTGATGATCAGTCAGTAGGTGACGGGGACAGGGGAGGGCATGTTAAGGCGAGAGAGAGAGAGAGGGAGAGTGAGACAGCGAGAGAGAGAAGCCCCTCCCCACCCAGGATGTCAGGCTTCATCCCGGCCAGGGGGACGGCCTCCCCGGGACCTCAAATCCCACCCCCCAAAATCCAATTGCCCCTCACCGGGCACACGGCGCTAAAAATCACTCTTTTTTGAGAGTTCTAAAATTCTGTTAAATTCTGCGATATTCAAATTAACCCTTAAAATTCACTAAAATCGGAAGATTACTGTAAAAATCTAAAAAATTAGAATTTTTGTAAACTTTCGAAAATCGGAAAATTCATATCTGTATTTTTTATTTTGATATTACGATATTCTCCTTCTAAATCAGTTAATTCAATTCTTCAATTCTTAAGAATCTAATTTTATTCTGAATCCCTAAATCCTGAATCCTGCCCCGGCTACCGTAACCCTTTTCAGTCCCTTTAAAAATACCATATCTCCCCTCAAAAATGGGAAACGCTGTGGCATACAAGCGAAATGTTACGGTAAGTCGATTACGGTATGAAAATTTTATAAGAAAAATACCTAAAACCAATTTCTTTAAATTAAAAATTTTTTTAATTTAAAAACGATAAAAGCTAATAACGAGAAATTTAGGACATGCAAATTAGGATTAACATAATTTTCCAATCATTCCAGAAGCAGCAGAACCGGAAAAAACAGCTCGAACACTGCCTAAAGTCCAGGGAACGCGTGTGCTTCAACAACAATCTCGACCCCATCGACCTGAAACGGCTGGATAGGGGTGGTAAGTGCTTAAATTTAATTTGCTAGGGCAGGCTAGCAGAGACAATTTGAGCGCCAGTTTTGAAAGTTTATGTGCAATTTTTCAGCGCTCTAGCCGAAAAGTGGGGCGTTTATTGGGCCCTTGGGGCCCAAAAAGGCCCCCACCCACACCCTCGAAAACACATGTCACTTGTTGGGGAGGTAAAAATAGCTCGTACCACGAGCTATTTTTAGGATTTAATGCCCTTCCTCAAAAATCACTGCTAGCCTGTCCAATCTTAGAGTTTAGAGGGTGTTTTGGAGCTTCGAGGAAGGGAGTCGCAGATCCGAGAAAGGGGCTTCTCGGATTACTTTTTTCAATTAGCGAGTTCGGCGACCGGATTTGGAGTCTAATTCATGGCAAAACAATCTCTGCTAGCCTGCCCTCTCTTCTTCCTCAACAATCTCTGCTAGCCTGCCCTCTCTTCTTCCTCAACAATCTCTGCTAACCTGCCCTCTCCTCTTCCTCAACAATCTCTGCTGGCCTGCCCTCTCCTCTTCCTCAACAATCTCTGCTAGCCTGCCCTCTCCTCTTCCTCGACAATCTCTGCTAGCCTGCCCTCTCTTCTTCCTCAACAATCTCTGCTAGCCTGCCCTCTCCTCTTCCTCAACAATCTCTGCTAGCCTGCCCTCTCCTCTTCCTCAACAATCTCTGCTAGCCTGCCCCTCTCTTCTTCCTCAACAATCTCCTGCTAGCCTGCCCTCTCTCTCTTCCTCAACAATCTCTGCTAGCCTGCCCTCTCCTCTTCCTCAACAATCTCTGCTAGCCTGCCCTCTCTTCTTCCTCAACAATCTCTGCTAGCCTGCCCTCTCCTCTTCCTCAACAATCTCTGCTAGCCTGCCCTCTCCTCTTCCTCAACAATCTCTGCTAGCCTGCCCGGGTTTAAAATATCAATTTCTAGAAAACCATGCCGGAACTTCAGCAGATTCCTACGTACGACTGTCCGTTGGTGGGAAGTCTTATTGCGTCAGGTATGTTTAATGGATTTAAAATTAAATTTTTAGACGAACTTAAAATTCAAATATTGACTAAAACCTAATTTTAACACTTTAAAATAAATCGTACCATTTTAGAACCGAGCTCTATACTCCAGAAGAGACGCGGATGCACCGATTTGTCGCGAGTGGGCATGAGGAGCGGCTACAGGTAGAGAGAGAGAGAGAGAGAGAGAGAGAGAGAGTGAGAGAGAGAGAGAGAAAGATAGAGAGAGAGGTACGTACTGTATTCCAGCTCTGCGATGGCTATGACCCCGCCACCGGCGAGTACTATTTCGAGCGCTACTCCAAGCTGGCCGACCATTTGATGGATTATTTTGCGACAGGTACTACCGTAATCCTCTCCGGTGCCTTCAATGGCCCTTTAAAATGCGTTTTCCACCTGTCACACCCCCTTTAAAGGGTCCCTCCATCGGCCGAGCAACGTCTGCATCGAGCGCTTCAAGGAGGAGCTGCTGTTCTGGGAGATTGGGTTGGATCAGGTGGGTTTTCCTGAGTCTAAGCCTAAGTCTAACATGTAGAGGTTGTGGGGTCACAGACTCCAAAACAGCTCAAAATTTGTGGAAAAATCAAATAAGAGACGGGGAACACGATGCGATAAAAATTAGGGCTTAGGGATTAGGCCTAAGCCAAGCCTAAGCCAAGCCTAAGCCAAGCCTAAGCCAAGCCTAAGCCAAGCCTAAGCCAAGCCTAAGCCAAGCCTGCTGGCCAGCCAAGCCTAAGCCAAGCCTAAGCCAAGCCTAAGCCAAGCCTAAGCCAAGCCTAAGCCAAGCCTAAGCCAAGCCTAAGCCAAGCCTAAGCCAAGCTAAGCCAGTAGCTGTTTAAGCCTAAGCCAAGCCTAAGCCAAGCCTAAGCCAAGCCTAAGCCAAGCCTAAGCCAAGCCTAAGCCAAGCCTAAGCCAAGCCTAACAAGGGAACCTCAAGTTGGCACGGTGGAGTTTCGAGAAACGCTCGCGGCTACCCCCAGGTTTTCGACTATGGCGATTCCAATGGTCTAGTCAGAATTTCCTAAATGGGCTTCTGGACAGAGATACAGCACTTCCGGAAAATGATGATTTACATCCGAAAAATTAGCATTAGCGATAGGTTTATGAGGCTCTCCCATGACTATGGAATCACCAGTGGAATGGCCGAGTGGTAAGCGACTCGCCTGATAGGATACTGACGAGGGTTCGAACTCGCTCGCGGATTTTATTTGCTTTTGACCAGAACTTTCTCCCTCAACTCCAAGTTTTCATTTTTAATATAGGAAAACATTTTGATTATTGCCGCCGCCCGCTTGACTGCTTCAAAATTCGAAAAAATTGTATGGAACGGTTCGGAGTTCTCATCTCCTTTTTTTATAAATGTGTTTCTATGAGTCGCCGGATCAGATTTTTTGCCTAATTGCTTTCCTAATACTTCTAGACATTTTAGAAAGAAAACGAATTTTCGGAAAAATTAACGATCCAAATCCAAGACTTGGAGTTGAGGAGAAAGTTCTGGTCAAAAAGCAAAATAAAACCGCGAGCGAGTTCGAACCCTCGTCAGTATCCTATCAGGCGAGTCGCTTACCACTCGGCCATTCCACTGGTGATTCCATAGTCATGGGAGAGCCTCATAAACCTACAGTTAATGCTAATTTTTTGGATGTAAATCACCATTTTCCGGAAGTGCTGTATCTCTGTCCAGAAGCCCATTTAGGAAATTCTGACTAGACCATTGGAATCGCCATAGTCGAAAACCTGGGGGTAGCCGCGAGCGTTTCTCGAAACTCCACCGTGCCAACTTGAGGTTCCCTTGTAAGCCAAGCCTAAGCCAAGCCTAAGCCAAGCCTAAGCCAAGCCTAAGCCAAGCCTAAGCCAAGCCTAAGCCAAGCCTAAGCCAAGCCTAAGCCAAGCCTAAGCCAAGCCTAAGCCAAGCCTAAGCCAAGCCTAAGCCAAGCCTAAGCCAAGCCTAAGCCAAGCCTAAGCCAAGCCTAAGCCAAGCCTAAGCCAAGCCTAAGCCAAGCCTCAGCCAAGCCTAAGCCAAGCCTAAGCCAAGCCTAAGCCAAGCCTAAGCCAAGCCTAAGCCAAGCCTAAGCCAAGCTTCAAGCTCAAGCCTAAGCCAACCCTAAGCCAAGCCTAAGCCAAGCCTAAGCCAAGCCTAAGCCAGGCCTAAGCCAAGCCTAAGCCAAGCCTAAGCCAAGCCTAAGCCAAGCCTAAGCCAAGCCTAAGCCAAGCCTAAGCCAAGCCTAACAAGGGAACCTCAAGTTGGCACGGTGGAGTTTCGAGAAAACGCTCGCGGCTACCCCCAGGTTTTCGACTATGGCGATTCCAATGGTCTAGTCAGAATTTCCTAAATGGGCTTCTGGACAGAGATACAGCACTTCCGGAAAATGATGATTTACATCCGAAAAATTAGCATTAGCGATAGGTTTATGAGGCTCTCCCATGACTATGGAATCACCAGTGGAATGGCCGAGTGGTAAGCGACTCGCCTGATAGGATACTGACGAGGGTTCGAACTCGCTCGCGATTTTTTATTTTGCTTTTTGACCAGAACTTTCTCCTCAACTCCAAGTTTTCATTTTTAATATAGGAAAACATTTTGATTATTGCACGCCGCCCGCTTGACTGCTTCAAAATTCGAAAAAATTGTATGGAACGGTTCGGAGTTCTCATCTCCTTTTTTTATAAATGTGTTTCTATGAGTCGCCGGATCAGATTTTTTGCCTAATTGCTTTCCTAATACTTCTAGACATTTTAGAAAGAAAACGAATTTTCCGGAAAAATTAACGATCCAGTCTGAAGACTTGGAGTTGAGGAGAAAGTTCTGGTCAAAGCAAAATAAAAAACCGCGAAGCGAAAGTTTGAACCCTCGTCAGTATCCTGTCAGGCGAGTCGCTTACCACTCGGCCATTCACTGGTGATTCCCATAGTCATGGGAGAACCTCATAAACCTACAGTTAATGCTAATTTTTTGGATGTAAATCACCATTTTCCGGAAGTGCTGTATCTCTGTCCAGAAGCCCATTTAGGAAATTCTGACTAGACCATTGGAATCGCCATAGTCGAAAACCTGGGGGTAGCCGCGAGCGTCTGCTCAAAAGAGTTTCCACCGTGCCAACTTGAGGGTTCCTTGTAAGCCAAGCCTCGCCAAGCCTATAAGCCAAGCCTAAGCCAAGCCTCAGCCGAAGCCCTAAGCCAAGCCTAAAGCCAAGCCTAAGCCAAGCCTAAGCCAAGCCTAAGCCAAGCCTAAGCCCAAAGCCTAAGCCAAGCCCAGCCAAACGCCTCAGCCAAGCCTCAGCCAAGCCTAAGCCAAGCCTAAGCCAAGCCTAAGCCAAGCCTAAGCCAAGCCTAAGCCAAGCCTAAGCCAAGCCCTAGCCGCTAAGCCAAGCCTAAGCCAAGCCAAAGCCAAGCTAAGCCAAGCCTAAGCCAAGCCCTAAGCCAAGCCTCTAAGCCAAGCCTAAGCCAAGCCTAACAGGGAACCTCAAGTTGGCACGGTGGAGTTTCGAGAAACGCTCGCGGCTACCCCCAGGTTTTCGACTATGGCGGTTCCAATGGTCTAGTCAGAATTTCCTAAATGGGCTTCTGGACAGAGATACAGCACTTCCGGAAAATGATGATTTACATCCGAAAAATTAGCATTAGCGATAGGTTTATGAGGCTCTCCCGCTGACTATGGAATCACCAGTGGAATGGCCGAGTGGTGTTGACCCGCCTGATAGGATACTGACGAGGTCTTGAACTCGCTCGCGATTTTTTATTTTGCTTTTTGACCCGTGAACTTTCTCCTCAACTCCAAGCTTTCTATTTTTAATATAGGAAAACATTTTGATTATTCGCTGCCGCCCGCTTGACTGCGTTTCAAAATCCCTGAAAAAATTGTATGGAACGGTTCGGAGTTCCCATCTCTTTTTATAAATGTTTCTGGAAATGCCGGATCAGATTTTTGCTCAATTGCTTTCCTAATACTTCTAGACATTTTAGAAAGGCAAAACGAATTTTCGGGAAAAATTAACGATCCAAATCCAAGACTTGGAGTTGAGGAGAAAGTTCTGGTCAAAAGCAAAATAAAAACCGCGAGCGAGTTCGAAATTGTCAGTATCCTATCAGGCGAGTCGGTTAACACTCGGCCATTCCACTGGTGATTCCATAGTCATGGGAGAGCCTCATAAACCTACAGTTATCCCGGATGGCCTGGATGTAACCATTTAGGAAATTTGACTAGACCATTGGAATCGCCATAGTCGAAAACCTGGGGTAGCCGCGAGCGTTTCTCGAAGCCCACCGTGCCAACTTGAGGTTCCCTGTGTTGCCTGCTGCCTGCTGGTTTGCCGCTTCCGCTTCGTCCAGCCAAGCCTGCATAAGCCCGCCTGCCGCCTGCTCGCTTCCAAGCTGCCGCTTCCGCTTTCGGCTGCTTTCGCCGCTTCCGCTCGCCAGCCCGCTTCCGCCGCCTGCCGCTTCCGCTTCGCCTGCCGTCGCTTGCCGGCCTGCCCTGCCAAGCCTGCTTCGCCTAGCCGCCTGGCTGCTTCCGCCGCGCTTGGCCGCCTGCCGCCCGCTTCGCCTGCCGCCTGCTGCCTGCCGCCTGCTTCCGCCCCGCGGCGCTTCCGGCTGCTTCGCCTGGCGCTTCGCTTGCCGCCTCCGCTTCGCCTGCCGCCTGCCGCGCTCCGGCTCGCCTGCCGCCTGCTGCGCTTCCGGCTCGGGCTCCGAGCTTCGCCTGCTCGCTCCGGCAAGCCTGCCGCTTCCGCCGCCTGCCGCCTGCCTGCCCGCCGCCTGCTGCTTCCCGCCGCTTCCGGCTTCGCCTGGGCTTCGCCTGCCGCTTCCGTTGCCCGCTAAGCCTCCGCTGCAACGCCTGCTTCCTGCCGCCTGCCAAGCCTGCCGTCGCCGCCGCCTGGCTGTCGGCCGCTTCCGGGGCCAAGCCTGTGCTTGCCTGCCGCCTCCGCCGTTTGCCGCTTCCGCTCGCTTCCGCTGCCTGGGAAGCCCTGCCGCTTCCCGCTCGCCTGGGCTAAGCCTGACGCTCCAGGATCTAAGCCCGCTTCGCCCGGGCCGCTTCCCGCCGCTTCTCCGCTCGCCCGCTTCGGGCCTGCCGCTCCGCTCGCTTCCAGCTTTCAAGCCTGCCAAGCCTGGGCCGCCCGCTGCTTACGCCCGCCTGGGCTGCCTACGCCAAGCCTAAGCCGCTCCTGCCGTGCCGCTCCGCTGCTTCCGCTCGCTCCGTGTGCCGGCTGCCTTGCCAAGCCTGCTCGCCTGCGCCGCCTAAGCCAAGCCTGGGCTTCGCCTGCTTCGCTTCCGGCTGCTGCCAATAGCCCAGCTTCAAGCCCGCTCGCCTGCTTCGCTTCCGCTTCGGCCTGCCGCCGCTCCGCCTGCCCGGCTTCGGCCCAGCCTGCGCTTCCGCTCGCTTCCGCTCCGGGTTTCCGCTTCGCCTACGCCGCTTCCGGCGTTCGCTTCCGGGCTGCCCAAGCTCGCTTCCGGTCGCGCCGAAGGCGGCCAAGCCTAGCAAGCCGCTTCCAAGGTCCGCTTCCTAGCTCGCCTGCTAAAGCCTAGCTGCCTGCCAAGCCTGGGCCGCTTCCACAAGCCGCCTCCGCTGGGTGGGCTGCCTCGCCGCCTAGCCAGCTTCCGCTCAAGCCTGCCGTCTGCCGTCTGCCGCTTCCGGCCGCCTGCCGCCTGCCGCCTGCTGCCTGCCTTCCGCCGGGTGGCTCGCTTCCAAGCTGCTTCCGCCGCTTCCGCTCGCCCGCCGCTTGCCGCTTCGCCTGCCGCTTCCGCTCGCTTCCGCTGCTCTGCTGCCTGCCGCTTCCGCCGCTTCCGCTTCACGGCTGCCAGCCTAAGCCAAGCCTGCTACGCCCCGCCGCTTCCGCTGGGGCCTGCGCCGCCTCCGCCGCCTGCCGCCCGGCTTCGCGCTAGCCGCTTCCGCTTCGCTTCCAGCCAAGCCTGGGCCGCTCCCCTTCAAGCCCGGCCGCCTGGCCTGCTGGCTTCCGCTCGCCTAAGCCAGCCGGGCTTCGCCTGCCGCTTCCGCTCGCCCGTTGCCTGCTTCGCCTAGTTTCCGCTCGCCGCTTCGCCTGCCGCTTCCGCCAAGTCGAGCAGCTCGTCCAGCCTAGCCAGCTCGCTGCCTGTTGCCTAAGCTGTCTGCCGTTTGCCAAGCCTGGTTCGCCTAGCTGTTTCCAGCCTAAGCAGTTCAAGGGGCCTAGAGCCAGCCTGCTGCCTAAGCTCGCCTGCTGCTTGGCCAAGGTTTCCTAGTTACGCCTGCTGCCTGCTAGCCCAAGCTGGTTCGGCTGCTTCTGCTGCTTCCAAGCTGCTCTGCTGCTCTGCCAAGCCTGCCAAGCCTAGCGGCTTGCCAAGCCTAAGCCGCCTGCTGCCTGGGCTGCCTGCTCGCCTGCTAGCTCTCCGTTGCTCTGCTGGGCTTCCGGTTGCTTCCGCTACGCCTCCGCTGGGCTCCGCTTCGCCCGCTCGCTTCCGCTCGCCTGCTGCCTGCCGCCTGCTTCGTCTTGGGCCGCTTCTGCTTCGCCGGCTTCAGCCTCCGCCGATCCGCCGCCGCTTCGCCTGCCGCTACTGCCTGCCGCCTGCAGTTTCCGCCGCCCGCCGCTTCCGCTTCGCCTAGGGCCAAGTCCGGCCGCCGCGTCCAGCTTCGCCCAGCCGCTTCCAGCTTCGCCTAAGGCTCGCCCGCCTCGCGCCCAGCCGTCTGGCTTCAAGCCTAGCTTCAAGCCTGCCAAGCCCGCTGCTTCCGCTAAGCCTGCACGCCCGCTGCGCCTGCCGCTTCCGGGTTAGCCTGCCGCTTCCGCTGCTTCCGGGCCAAGCCCGCTTGCCCGCTTCGCCTGCCGCTTCCGCCGCTTCCGGCCGCCCTGCTCGCCGTTCCGGCCCGCTTTAGCACCTGCCGCTTCCGCTTCGCCCGTGCCTGCCGTCGCCGCTTCCGCCGCTCCGCTTCGCTCCAGCCGCCTGGGCCGCTTCCAGCCGTCCGCCGCTTCCGCTCGCCTGCTTCGCTCCGCCGCTTCGCGCTTCGCCTGCCGCCCGCGTCGCCTGCCGCCCGGCTTCTGGGGCTCCGCTCGCCTGCTCGCCTCCGCTTCGCTTCCGCTTCAAGCCTGGGCCGCTTCCGCTTCGCCCGCCGCTCTGGGGCTGCCTGCTCGCTTCCGCCGCCTGCCGCTCCGCTTCGCCTGCCGCTCTGCCGCCTGCTCGGGTCCGGCCGCTCCGCTTCCAGCCCGGGCACCTGCTCGCTCCGCTTCGCCCAGGCTCGCTTCCGCTCGCTCCGCTGCTTCCGGGCTCGCCCGGGCTCAAGCCCGGTGCCCGCTTCGCCCGACGCCTAAGCCGCTTCCAAGCTCGCTCTGCTACGCTCTGCTTCGCCTGGCCAGCCTAAGCGCTTCTGCTAGCCTAAGCCAAGCCTAAGCCAAGCCTGCTAAGCCTAAGCTGCCTGGGCTGCTTCTGCTCGCTTGCCGAGTCCAAGCCTGCTGCCTAAGCCGCTTCCGGGCTCAAGCCTCTGCCAGCCTGCCGGGCTCTGCCGCTTCGCGGCTGCCTGCCGCTCTGCTAGCCCTGCTGCTTCTAAGCCGCTTCCGATGCCGCCAAAGCCAAGCCTACGCCAGGCCGCCAATGCCTAAGCTGCTTGCCAAGCCTAAAGCCCTGGCTGCTCTGCCAAGCCTAAGCCAAAGTCGCCTGCGCCTAAGCCTGCCAGCCTTAGGATTCCGCAAGTTGCCTCGCTGGCCTGGGACCTGTCGCTAAAATTCCCTCATAAATCTCTGCTAGATGGCCGCCTGCTGCACGATCATCACGCCGCCCGACCCGAGCCTGCTGGCCGCCAAGAAGAAGGGGATGATCGCCGTGCCCGACGACGATTTCGAGCCGATTTTCGATGGGGTAGGTCGTTTTAAAGGAACTGCGAAGTCAGAAATGGTCCGATTTTCATTACGTAATCGATCCTCCGAAATTGGGTGAATTCAGGTGCTTCTTGGACGATTCCGGCTAACGCTCTGGCGATTCCTGGAAGACCCGCAATCCTCGATCCCAGCCGCCGTCTTTGCCCTCCTGTCCGTCATGTTCGTCTTCGCCAGCGTCATCGGCAAGTTCATAACTTTTCAAAGCCGTTATATTATGTTGTATCGTCTATATTTATGCAAAGCTATGTTTTTTTTCAGGCCTAATCCTCGGTTCGATGCCCGAATTCCAGGAAGACTCGTCGATGGCCGACGCCTATCACAATATGCATAACAGGAAGACGTATCCGGGTGATGTACGTAATTCCAATGATTTCTGCTAGCTGCCTTGTTCCTTATGAATCTCTGCTAGCTTCGAGGGTTTCAAAAACTTTTTTAGGGCCCAGCCGCGCACAAATTTGCGGCGGCCATGGAAAACCCGTTGTACCCGAATTTCGTGTACCGGGCTACCGACAATCCGATGGCTTTCCTGGTGATGCTCGAGTACATTTGCATCGCGTGGTTTACGTTTGAATACGCGGTCAGGTAAGGAATCCTAAATGATCTCTGCTAGCCTGTCCTCTTGATTCCCTAGGCCCCAAATCATTTTCGGACGCTTCTCGCTGTCTCTCTCGCTCTCTCGCTCTCTCTCTCTCTCTCTCTCTCTCTCTCTCTCTATCTCTTTCTCTCTATCTCTCTCATACTCACTCACTATCACGCGCATTCACACGCTCTCTCACTATCTCTCGCTCTCTATCGCCCGTTCTCTCTCCCTCGTTCTCGTCACTCCAGCTGTCTCTCTCGCTCTCACGCTTTCATTCTCAGTCTCACTCTAGCTCCCTCTCTCTCAATCCCACTCTCGCTCACACTCTCTCGCTCTCGCCCTCTCGCTCTAACCCCCTCGCTTTCACCCTAACTCTCTCTCGCTCTTCGCGCTCTCCGTCTCTCTCGCGCTCCCACTCTCTCTCTCTCTCTCTCTCTCTCACTCCTCTTTCTCTCTCTTTTGTTTTCTGTTTCTCTCTCGCCTATCCCACTCTGGCTTTCGCTATCACTCTCACTCTTACTCACTCTCGTTCTCATTCTCTCGCTCTCCACTAAGTCTCACTCTCACGCCCATTCTCTATATCTCTAGCTCACTCTCACTCTCACTCCCAATCTCTTCACTTATTTTGGACTAATCCATCTCCTTTTACCCAATAATCTCTGCTAGCCTGCGCTCATTTCCAGGCTCGTCGTTTATCCCAAGCGTTGGGAGTTCGTCCGCAAGACCCTCAACCTCATCGATCTTCTCACCATCCTCCCATTCTACATGGAGCTGTGTCTCCCCCTCGCCGGGATCCACTCCGGAAAGCTCAAGGATTTGACCGGTAAACTGCGTATTTTAAGCTGAATTTTTGTATCCATTTTTTGTGAAAAATTGTGTCAAAAACTAAAAACCAATGCACAGGCGAGGAGGTGAACCTGGCCCGGAGCGCGCAGACGTGGATGGGTAATCGATTGGAATTCAGTGTTCCTCGCTAAAATGCACCCCACACTCTCTTTCTCGTCGGCCATTAATGCACCCTTTGCTGTGTCTTTGAAAAGCTATTAAAATATAAAACTTAATCAACATTTTTGGTTTTAAAATTTGCTTTTTATGAACTCTTCTACTTTCGTATGAAACCGTTAAGTAAAAATCATGAAACTTTAAAAATTTCGGTAGCACTTTCAAATCTAATTTTTCTGTTTTTAACCGAAAATACAGTTTGAAATTTAATTATCTTTATATTAAATTATACAAAAAATAAGCCTAATTAATTATCATTTAATTTATTATACCTATTCACTTAATAATAACATTAGAAACACTACTTACATAGTTAAATACACAAATCGCTTAACTCTCAAGTAGTTAGAAAATTTACTAAACCCCCCAATCAGCACTCATTAGCTAAGCCTATGCCAAGCCTAAGCCAAGCCTAAGCCTAAGCCTATGCCAAGCCTAAGCCTAAACCCCGAATTTAAAAATCGGCTTTAAATTTCAAGATTTGCGTGTCTTTCCATATCCAAAGCCTCGTGTGTTGCCAAGCTAAAACGGTTTGGCCTCTCTGTGCTTTGCGTGGGATTTCCGATTCTTAAATCCCATTTAGATAACTTTTTTCAGGCGCCATGCTGGTGATCCGGGTTTTGCGCGTGCTGCGGATGGCGCGCGTCTTCAAGCTGGCCAGATACAGTACCAGCTTGCAGGTAAAAGTCTGCTAGCCTGCCCTCTCTTCTTCCTCAACAATCTCTGCTAGCCTGCCCTCTCCTCTTCCTCAACAATCTCTGCTAGCCTGCCCTCCCTTCTTCCTCAACAATCTCTGCTAGCCTGCCCTCTCCTCTTCCTCAACAATCTCTGCTAGCCTGCCCTCTCTTCTTCCTCAACAATCTCTGCTAGCCTGCCCTCTCCTCTTCCTCAACAATCTCTCCCTGCCTGCCCCTCCTCTTCCTCAACAATCTCTGCTAGCCTCCCTCTCCTCCTCAACAATCTCCGCCCTGCCCCTCTCTCCTCTTCCTCAACAACAATCTCTGCTAGCCTGCCCTCTCTTCTTCCTCAACAATCTCTGCTAGCCTGCCCTCTCCTCTTCCTCAACAATCTCTGCCAGCCTGCCCTCTCCTCTTCCTCAACAATCTCTGCTAGCCTGCCCTCTCCTCTTCCTCAACAATCTCTGCTAGCCTGCCCTCTCCTCTTCCTCAACAATCTCTGCTAGCCTGCCCTCTCCTCTTCCTCAACAATCTCTGCCAGCCTGCCCTCAATTCCAGACATTCGGCCACACCCTCCGCTCCTCCATCACCGAGTTGTCGATGTTGTCGATGTTCCTCCTCACCGGAATCGTGTTTTTCTCCACGATTATGTATTATCTCGAGCGGGACGAGCCGAACACTGATTTCTACAGTATCCCCGCCGGGTGCTGGTGGTGTGTGTAAGTCAAAGCTTACGGTAGCCAGGGCACGATTTAGGGTCACGATGGCCACGGTTGGATATGGGGACGCTAAGCCGGTTACGACAGGTGAGGAAAGCTAAGCCTAAGCCTAAGCCTAAGTCTGAGCCTGAAAAGGGACGGCATGCTAGCAGAGATTCAGTAAGTTTCATTAACAATTTTCAGCCGGAAAACTCGTTGCTACCACCACAAGCATCTGCGGCATCATCGTGCTCGCCTTCCCGATTTCCATGATTGTCGAGAAATTTGCATCCGCCCAGCAGAAGGCCATTGAGGACACGCAGCTGGCGCAGGGTAAAATACAATTAAAAACACTGATTTTTACAAATTAAATTAGAAATTTAAATGCCATTAGGAACATCGAATTTTCGGAGTTTACTACCGATTTAATTACTGAATTTCTAGCTCAATAATCATGAACGTTTTTCAGCCCAAATGTCAGCCGCCGCCAACAACGCACTGCTGCGCCGCTTCCCGACGCGGCGGCGCGCTCGCGCGAAGCGCCCCAGCGACGCCCGGCACGACAGTCTGCTGAGCACGGTGGCCTGAGGGTACTGTAGCGAGATTTTTCATACAAATTTTGCTGATTTTTGATCTGGTTAAAGTCGATTCGAAATGCCGCTTTTCATGTTGATATTTTGAGATTTGCATGCTGATTTATGTGACTTTAGATTTGCTGTATTTGGCTTGAATTTGAAGCCTAAGCCAAAGCCTAAGCCAAGCCTAAGCCTAAGCTAAGCCTAAGCCTAAGCCTAAGCTAAGCCAAGCCCAAGCCTCAAGCCTAAGCTAAGCCTCGGCCAAGCCCTAAGCCTAAGCCTAAGCCAAGCCCAAGCCTAAGCCTAAGCCAAGCCAAGCCCAAGCCTAAGCCTAAGCCTAAGCCAAGCCCAAGCCTAAGCCTAAGCTAAGCCCAAGCCTAAGCCTAAGCCTAAGCCAAGCCCAAGCCTAAGCCTGAGCCAAAGCCTAAGCCCAAGCCTAAGCCAAGCCCAAGCCTAAGCCTAAGCCTAAGCCTAAGCCCAAGCCCTATCCATTATCGATTTGCATATTTCGGCTGTGTGACGAGAAACCGGTGCCCGCATTAAGCCAAATTTGCATATTTTTGATCTCATTATAATTTTATTTTGGGGAATTCTAATTAATTTTCGACTGAAATTTAAATTCCGTTTTCTTTAGTTTTTCATTTTTTGATCGAAATTTTGTGTGTTTCGTGCGGAGTTGTTGGTGATAAATAAAAACTAAACACCACACTTGAATAGCGATATACCAAAATAAGCGAAAAATACAAAAAACCAAAAACCATTTATACCTTAAATTAACTCAACACTCAACACCTAGCTCAAAAAATGGCGGAGGAGCACAATTTAGGGGGCACAAAAGCGACACATATTTGGAGACACACGGTGAATAGGGAAGGAATTGAGAACAACTCTCAGCGGAGGAGGAGGAGGAGGCGATTCGTTTTAAAGGGCCATTGAAGGGTGGCCGTGTGGGTGGGAGGTGGGCTGTTGATGCTCAATCCGAGGGGCGTGCTTTTGGCGGCGGAGGAGCAGCAGCTTCCGGAGCCGGAACGTCGAGTCCGTCGGCTTTCCGCTCGGCCATCACAATCTTCATGCGCTCCGCTTCGACGGCGCGGAAAGCGTCGAGGTCCCAGTTGGGCTGCTGGATGATCGCGTAGCGTTTCTGGAATGCAGAAATTTCAAGTGTCGAAAATTCATACTTTCAAAATTTCGTAATGTAGAAATTTGATAATGGCGCGATTTGGGTACTGTTCTGTTAGCGGGGGGGGTATTTCCACAAACTGTGTTAAATGCCATCAAAAAAACACGCCCCCCACTAACAGAACAGAACCCAAATGACATCCTGATAGTAAATCGGGTCAGGCTAGCAGAGATTGTTGAGGAAGAGGAGAGGGTAGGCTAGCAGAGATTGTTGAGGAAGAGGAGAGGGCAGGCTAGCAGAGATTGGTGAGGAAGAGGAGAGGGCAGGCTAGCAGAGATTGTTGAGGAAGAGGAGAGGGGCAGGCTAGCAGAGATTGTTGAGGAAGAGGAGAGGGCAGGCTAGCAGAGATTGTTGAGAAAGAGGAGAGGGCAGGCTAGCAGAGATTGTTGAGGAAGAGGAGAGGGCAGGCTAGCAGAGATTTTCGGGGAACCCACGGCTGTAATCCAGCCGCCGGAGACGCTGTACTGCAGCCCGCAGACGTGGGCACACTCGGCCATCGTCAGCCTGGAAGTTTAAAGTTTAGTAAAGTATTTAAAACAGTTAAAATCCCAAAATGAACCTTTTATTCGGATCCTCCTGCCAGCAGTTCTGGCACAGCTTCCACAGCTCGGCGGGGAACGTGTCCCCCGGCTGCATCCGGCCACCCCCTTTCACGAACGCTTTGATCTGAAAATTGCGAGAATTTCCTAAATAATCGCTGCTAGCATGCCCTAAAATTCCTCCGCGGTCTCTGCTAGCCTGCCTGCGCTTTTCACACTGACCTCCTTGATCTTGGAGTCATCAATGTCCTCGTAGGGGGTCTTGCCATCGTTGAATACCTGAGAGAGCATGGGGTAAAGCCAGAGAGAGAGAGAGAGAGAGAGAGAGAGAGAGAGAAAGAGAGCGAGAGCTACCCACCTCCCACATCAACACCCCGAACGCCCAGACGTCGGTGCGGGGCGAGTAGATGCCCTTGGTGAGCGTCTCTACGGCCAGGTAGCGGATGGGCACCTTCTTCAGCTTGGTCTCCTGATGCAGCGAGCCGGCGCGCGACAGGCCAAAGTCACTGGAAACTACAAATACAGATCCGGGATCGTGATCAAGGAGGACGGGGCATGCTAGCAGAGACAATTTGAGGAGCGTAACTCCTAGGAAAATTTACCCCCGATAACGCAAAAGACCCCAAAATGGACCTGATCTTGGCCTCGTTGTCCTTGCCGATGAGCGCGTTGCGGGCGGCGACGTCACGGTGGATGATCTGCTTCTCGTGCAAGAAGGCGAGCCCGCGCGCCGCGCCGCACACCCAGTGGATACGCTCCGCGATAGGCGGGCAGCGCTGAAAAATTCCGGGTCCTGGCACGCCCGCTTTAACAAGACCTTGTTGGGGTGCTTCTCGTCGGGCGGCTGCACAAAATCGAGCAGGGCACCTGGAACAGGCGGGTTAGCAGAAATTTTTGAGGAAAGGTAGGGCAGTCTAGCGAAAATCTTTGGGGAAAACGGACCCTGGCACAGCTGGAGGACGAGCATCAGCGGCTGCTCGTAGCAGGCGATGGCCACCAAGTCGACGACGTTCGGGTGGTGGATCTTCAGCGAGCGCATGAGCAGCGCTTCCTAAAAAAATTTCTCTCAACGATCTCGGCTGGCCTGCCCTCTCCTCTTCCTCAACGATCTCTGCTAGCCTGCCCTCTCCTCTTCCTCAACAATCTCTGCTAGCCTGCCCTCTCCTCTTCCTCAACAATCTCTGCTAGCCTGTCCTCTCCTCTTCCTCAACAGTCTCTGCTAGCCTGCCCTGTCCTCTTCCTCAACAATCTCTGCTAGCCTGCCCCACCTTGAGCAACGCCTCGCTGTCCTCCGTCGTCGCGCCGACCAGAATCTTGACGGCCACCGGAACGCGGGAAAAGACCCCGGCACGGTAGTAGGCCTTGAACACTTCGCCGAACGCGCCGTCGCCCAGCGCCTTGATGCTGAAAAATACTGCGTTTAACGGGGCAGGCTAGCAGAGATCCTTTAGAACGAGGCTTACCGCTGGATCTGCTCATGGTAGATCTTGTGCTCGTGGGCCAGGCGGACGCCGTTGACGATGAACTTGTCGGCGAAGCGGTCCAACGATACGTGGAAGTCCCGGTGGTAGGAGACGAGGCCTGAATTTGGCATGCAAACAAAGAATTTGACCCAAAAAACCCACCCTGCGCCGTGTTGAAGCAGTATTCGTGGAGGTAGTAGACGCGGTTGGTACGGGAGTATCTGATGGCAACCTAATATCTTCCTAAAGTGTCTCTGCTAGCCTGCCTCTTCAATTTCTTGTTTCGACGTCATGAAGGCGATGATGTAGCGCTTGTCTTGCGTCGACTTGGAGTTGTTCTTCCAGGACAGCACCTGGCGGACGAGAAAGTCGCCTGGAAAGAATTTTTGGGTGAACTAGCTGCGGTTGTGGTTGGGCAGACTAGCAGAGATTGTTGAGGAAGAGGAGAGGGCAGGCTAGCAGAGATTGTTGAGGAAGAGGAGAGGGCAGGCTAGCAGAGATTGTTGAGGAAGAGGAGAGGGCAGGCTAGCAGAGATTGTTGAGGAAGAGGAGAGGGCAGGCTAGCAGAGATTGTTGAGGAAGAGGAGAGGGCAGGCTAGCAGAGATTGTTGAGGAAGAGAAGTGGGCAAGCTAGCAGAGATTCTCTACCCGGTTCCATCAAATATTTGGACGTCTCGTGCTCCTCGATAAAGCTGTAGAAGAACGGCTCGGCGTTGACGGACGCCATTCCACCCGCCACGGCATCGCGCACTTTCGTGTAGCGGAGCTTCTGGTTCGAGTTGCTCACCGTGCGGGTGGGTTCTTGCTGGAAGATTACCATAAATTCCGTTATTTGCATATACTATAAAATTCGGTCCTCCAAAAAACCTACCCCCTCTCGGCTCGGTCCGAGGGCGTCCATGGTGGGAGATAATGGAAGTGATTTTTCGGATCTTTAGCTTTTCGGCGTCCGCCATGCTAATTGAGATTCTAATTGATCTTTCTGAGCTTTGCAGCGGGCTTCTTTTCTTTTGTCGAAACATCATTTTGTCGATATTTCACTTTCTCGAAACTTCCATGCCTTTTTCATCTCGGTTAACTTCAAATTCCAGCGCATTAAAATTTTGACCAAATGAAAGTTCGACAAAATTTAGTTTTGACAAAATTGACTTCCATGTTACTTCTGTAGGTAGAGGAAGTGTTTCTAAAAATTTTGCTACTCCCAAGCGCAAAAACTTCAGATTTTGCTTCGAAATTCCAGCAAAAAAAGGAAAAAAAGATAAAGAAAGGAAAAAAGAATAAGAAAAGAGAATTCAAGTGCCGGTTAAATCGCGAAAAATGTCGAAAAGGACCTTCAAGTGCCGGTTAAATAGCGAAAAAATTGTCGAAAATGACGTTCAAGTGCCGGCTAAATAGCCAAAAAACGGTCTTCCCAGGAACTCTTTATTTCGAGTGTAACACACGTACAGAAACCGACCAAATAGAGCAAAGGAAATTCGGGGGAAACATAGGGAAACACATTTGGTATTTGAGCAGTTTGGTCAGGTGGGGTGGTCGGGAATCCGCCGATCATCAGGCGGCCATCTTCTTCTCACTATAAAACACGGGGTTGGAAATGAATGCGACCTACTTAATTGGGTCGGAATTATCCGCCAACTAGCGAAATTTAGATCACGTTATTTCGGGCTGAAGTTGAACCACTTCGCATAATTTTCGACTTTCTATGCCGCCCCCGCGGAACCTCAGTCCACGCTATGGCAAGGTCTGCTTCCTAAAGCGTTCCCCTTGGGGGGAAGAGGGACTACCCTGTCACGATCCCATGAGCTTGTTGGCGCATTGGTTATGTGTTTGGTTGCCGCGCACAAGCCCCGGGTTCGACCCTCCGGTTGTGACAAGGATTTTTGCTTTTTGATACGAAACTAAGATTTGGATGTTTTTTAATGGGGAAACCCCGTTTTTGCGAGGCTTTACATGTTAATTTTTTTAGCTTATGGTTTCCGAATAGTCGACTGGTCGACTGGTCGACTTTTTCCGGTTCGCCTGGCAAAAATTTATCTTTCATGTTCATTTCAATGTTCAAAATTTCAAGTCGATCGGATTTTGGTATTTAGTCGGTATTTTGGCTGTCGGGATTTTGGCTGGAATTCCCATCAAACCTCACCGCTTTTTGCACCCGCTCCACGTAATCCCGTTCCTGCTTCAGGCGATCCCTTTCCGCGTCGCCCAGCGTCCAAATTTCGGTGTAGATTTCCGTTGCCTTCTGAAAACATGCACAAGAGGCTGATGTAAAAGGAACATAAAACCAGCTTTGTAGACTTGGGCAGTCGGAAGGACATCAAACTCCTGAATCATCACCATCGTTTCGGCTTCCGCTTGCAGCCAGTGCGGGCGAGCGGTGAAATCGGGGGCTACTGTGGTGTTTTCGATGACCGCGGGCTGCAAAATTGAGGTGATATGGAATTAATTGATGAGGCGGACAGAGGGACAAAGAGAGAGAGAGAGAGAGAGAGAGAGAGAGAGAACTTGAGAGGAGAGGAAGGGTGAGGGAGGAGGGAGAGAGTGGGAGAGAGGGGATAGAGATAGAGAGCAAGAGAGAGAGACAGAGAGAGAGAGAGAGAGAGAGAGAGAGAGAGAGAGAGCGCGCGAGAGGGAGAGAGTGAGGGAGAGGGAGGGGAGAGAGTGGGAGAGAGAGGGATAGAGATAGAGAGCAAGAGAGAGAGACAGAGAGAGACAGAGAGAGAGACAGAGAGAGCGAGAACGAGAGAAAGAGCGATAGATAGAGATAGCGAGAGAGCGAGAGAGTGAGAGTGAGGAACCGTCTCCGGAACATAATTCTCTACCATCGATGAAGCCATTGGACGAGCTGCCGTAATGGTCCTTCCGAGCTCGAGAAATTTGGCCTCCGACTCAGACCACGCGGATAACAACTGAAACAAATGCTTTGGATGACGATTGGTGATTAACCTCTGCTTCATCTTTCGTTGTTCGATAGAGGTACAGCCAGCCGAGGGACAGTAGGCAGAGAAGCTGAAAAATCGATAGACGATTCCTTTGTACAAAGGCTGGTGTGTGGGGTATTTGCTTTTTGTTGCCTTACTTTAGTGTAGAGATCCAGATGCACGCCTTCGCCACGCACACACGTTCGTAGCCATCTACCGACGTCGCGTCTCGCTGACTCTAGCATGTTGTTGTTGTTGTTGTTGGACTGAAACGCGGAAATAGGATTGTGGTTAGAGTGCAGTTTACCCCCCCCACCCAGCCGGCACCCAACTTTTGTCTCTCGGCTCCCTGTTCATCTACAGGTGTGTAAAGTATACCCAAATGTTCGTCTTGCTCTGTCGAGTATTTTTTGGTATG